TAATGAGATATATTTTATAAGTTAAAGGATTATTTAAGAGAACAATTTGGTCGTTGGAGATCCTATGGGTTTGAGAAAAAACTTTTGACTTAATGAAGTTTTGAAATTATTTGATAAGTGTTAAGTGAATCCTTGATCAAGGATGAAGATTAGAATAGGAGTGTACATTATTGGAATTAAAAGTATACAATATTGGAGTTGGAATGAAATGATATGTTGAAATTTTGATGCAATTATTTATAGATTATAATGTTGCAGAATTTATTTTGATGGATTTAGTCCAAAATGTTATAATTGTGGTAAATAGCTTTATATACGTAAAGAAGGATGTTCACTTGATTTGGTTCTACATTTTTTATTAAGAAAGTATTTAAGGTTTGATTATGCGAGTTGGATGTTTGTATAGTTAATTTAAAGTTTGATCATTAAATTCCTATTTGAGGTGTACTGATTTTTTTTTAATGGCTAAAGTGATTAATTTGGGGTTATAGTTTTTAGTTGAAGTATATTATTGGATTCCTTCAAATTTTATATTTATCGAGAACATGACTTATTGTGGTATAAGGTTGTGTACTTAGCAAGGAATTAAAATTGTGATTGTCTAGATGATTTAGTAAGGAAGTTAGTTTTAAAGGAGTAATCGATTTACAAAAAAATCTGCATGTTTTGGTTAAGAATGATTGTTTGAAATTTTACAAGTGCAAATGATTATTTGAATTTTACAAGGGCAAAAGATTGGTTGAAATCTTACAAGTGATGATTTTGTGTACTTGGTGATGTTGAGCATGTATTCGATTTTAGAGAAATTTGAGAGAACTTTTGAAATAATGTGATGCATTTGGCTATTGTTCATAATTATACTTTTAGTGTGAATTCAAGTGTTTGGAGTTCTTATTGGTTCAAACTTTATAAAAGAATTTCTTTTATGGATTATGATGCATAGTTTTTAATTTGACGTGAAGATAATAGCAATATATTTGGTAAAAAGAGAATTTGAGACATTATGATGTTTGTGGGGATTATGAAGAATCAATTGTTATATGATAATTGGTGTATTAGAAAGAATAATATTCACAATTGAAGACAACTTTGATAATTAGAGATTTATGTTTGAATTTACATGGTGTAAATTTATGGATATGATTTATTGCATTGATGTCATATGTATTATAATGGTTAATTGATAGAAAATTTTATGTTGTCAGTGGAAAAGAAAAGAAAATTAAAGTATTATGTGATATCTTTTTGGTGACAAAATGATTTGTTGATATTGTTATTCAAGGTTGTTATGGTTATGAACACATGGTGTGAAGCATATTACAAGGAATTTTATGGACACATGCTTTTCTTGTTACAAAACGATGTTATGAAAGTTAATTTGTTTGAATTGTATTGGAAAAAAAATATCAGAGTGCGCAGTGAAAGCCTGAATTGATTTTAAGTTCTAAATTATTATGCTATTATTAGTTGAGAAAGTGATGAATCTTTTGTAAATAAGGATTAATGGATTTTGGACAAGAATATTTTGTGTTGCCTTCATTTTTGAGGCTTTATTATTGATTGACATTCTTTTAAGAAATGCTTATGTCATGACTTGAAGAAATATATTTTATAACGATAGTCATAAGATAAACATTCAATGATTCATTATTTTGAGGTTTTGTATGAAAGCAGATCTAAGTCTTAGACTTATTGGCATAAGGACAAAGAAGAAAAACTTTTATTTCTTAAATTTATGGAACAAATGGTTGATAAATTTTGGTTGATTAAGTAATGGTTTAAAGTAAGCCTAAGAATTATACCAAAATTTGGAGATATGATCTATTGTTTCAAGTGGTTAATCAATTGTACTCATTACAAGGATTATAAAGTAAGAAAGGTTAAGTTTGCATTGTAAAGACATTTAAAGTTCTAGGAAAAGTGAAAAGGTTCAAAATAAAGAATATTGTCACCTTTGATGTTTAGTGTATATGATAAATCTATGTTAAGAGAATATCTTAGTAAAAGCTATGTGATTGGATATGAGTATTTAAAAATTCAAGATGATATGAGTTTTAACATATTGAAATTTTTTTTTTTTTCAAATGGTTGATTAGAAAGAATAAGTTTTAAGGCAAGATGATTATTTTTTTTAAAGTTCAATGAAACAATCATACGGTAAGAGATATGATTGCAAAACTAGATGAATGAGATTTGGATGTAAATCAAGTTTCAAGGACGAAACTTCTTATAAGGAGGGGAGAATGTAAACCCCAGCCCAAATAATAATTGGGCTAGATTAATACTAAAGCCCATTAGTTTATTAAGACATTATTTAGTAAAAGAAAAAGGGTTGAAGTATTAGATGAAAGAAAACCTAACTATCGTGAAACAGAAAGGAAATAGAGTTCTTCTTCCTCATCTTCTTTAGGGTTAGAGAATATGAAAAATCAAGTTATAGATTCACAATCAGAGGCTACAATCAAGTTAATCCCTTAAAGGTGAGTACATGCCCTCTTTTTAATTGAAAAGAAATATCAAGTTGATTGCTATTATTTGGAGTTGAAATTTTGAGAGAAAAATCAAGAAAAATCATGAAATCCTTCATTAATCTTGATGATCTATTTAGGTAAATTACTGGGCTTTATTTATTTCATGTTCTTAAGATTCATTGATGATTATTGAATGGAGTTTGTAGGCTGAAAGTAAGGATTTGAGTTTTTAAAGATTGAAGAAGAAATTCTGTTTTTGAATGAGATGTTATGATATGTAATAATGAATTAAAATAGAATTTTGTATTAATGGATAGATTATTGTTGTTATTATTATATATCAGTGGAAAACATGTTGAATCTAGTTTCTAATGAAACAACGAAAGTCAAATTCGAGTTTTCTATGAAAAATTGTCTAATTTTAACTTAAGGATATGCAGGCTGTAAGACAGCAACATCAGGGTTGAATTATGAAATTCTTCTTAATTTGTATACAAGGATTTACAGATTAAGCCATATATGTTTGGGAAGCTTATTGAGTCTACTTTCCAATGAAATAAGCGGAATTAAATTTGGAGTTTCCTGTGAATAAATATATAATTTTTATTAGAAGGTATACAGGCTGTTTGACAGCAGTATATGACGTGGATTTCAAAAATTTTTATAATTAATCTACAAGGAATTACGAGGTGTGTCATATATGGTTAGAAATCTTATCAAGTCTAGTTTCTAACGCATTAAAGAGATCATAATTCTGATTTGGATATATTAAGATATGACTGTTTTAATGAAAAGAGGTCAGGCTGCTAGTATTAATTAGTTAAGTTAACCCTTGTGTAACTTAGTTGATTTTTGTATAAATGGTCTCAAAAAGGGTTGATTAAATTATGATCTATTGAAATGATCTTGGATAGGCCCTTAATTATTTTAAGAGAAAAACTAAGTGGTGGAATCGAAAAGAGGTAAGTAGAATCGAAAAGAGGTAAGTAGAATCTCACACACTTTGCTTGTTTTCGAAACTATGTATATATATATATGTTTCTAATTGAATGAATATTTTATTTCATTATTTTCAATGTATGAAAATGGGATCAAGCATATGATTGTTTTGTGTTTTGCTACGTAAATGATGGATCATGCTTATGAATGAAATGAGAAAATGCTTTATGTTTAAAGAATGATTTTGTGATGGCTACGTTTTTACATCTTTGAGAAGTGGGATCATCGACACCAGAACTAGTTTTACGATCCTGGCTAACGGGTAATAGTAGTTAACAAAGACATGATCATACGACTCTGGCTAACGGGTAATAATAGTTAGTGTAAGCCCTAGCTAACGGGTTATAATAGTTAACAATGATCATGATAATAAAATTGTCGATACGACAAATGTCACAGGTTATAGCAGTGACCGTAGCTAATGATAAATGAATGATAATGATGATTTATGATGATTTTAATGATTGATCCAGGATTTGGTTTGATTATGATATTTGAATGATAGCATATTTTACAATGATTTATGAAGTGACATATTTTGACATTGATTTATGAATTTATGAAATATTTGACAAAACGATGATCTTGAAATGTTTTGATATTATGATTTGATGAATGTTTTGAATGATCTATATGATGTGTAAGAAAACGATGCTTGATTTGGTAAGGTGTGTGAGCCTATACTTACTGAGCTATGGTTTGCTCATTTCCTTTTTACTTTTTCTTTACAGATGACTAAGTGATAAGTTTGGTTAGTCTTGTGTGAAGCTAAAAAATGAAATGGGTAAGATTACTTAACTATCGGAGAATATGTTGGCCAATGAGATTTTAAGAGACAGTTTTGTATTTTATATGGTTTGTATTTAGATATATAAAGATGTATCATCAGTTGGATTAAAGATATGAATTTTACTTGGTAGATTGTTTTATTGAAGAATTTTAGAATGTTTAAGAAAGAAGGTTTCGTATTACTTTGAGATTTTCTTCAAGGTAATATGGCCGTGACACGTCTTGATTCGGGGCGTGACACTTGTTGACAACCAAGCTGCCATTGTTATCTCTCAAAATCTTGTGTTTCACGGGAAAACTAAACATTTTAATATTAAATTATTCTTCTTACGGGAAGTGCAGAAAGATGGAGCTGTTGTTCTTATCTACTGCAAAACAGAAGATCAGGTTGCAGATGTTTTCACCAAGCCATTGCCAGTTAGCAAGTTTGAATTTTTGAGGACCAAACTTGGTGTTTGCAGCTCCTAAAGCAAGGAGGAGTGTTAGAAGATGTGTTTAGGATTGCTAATGTGGATTCATGAATGTTGCTTAGTTGAATGTTTCATGTTGTTCATGTTTTTTTGGTGTTGGTTATTTTTTTTGTTATTCATGACCTCTTAATCTTAAGATTATGATTTTAGTGGATAGTTATTAATTAGGCTTTAAATTGTAATGTTTCTGATGTTAAAAAATGCAACAGTGAGTAAAGTTTTCTTTACTTCAAAAATAACAACAAAAACAAATAAAATGCACAAAAATTACCAAACTCTGCCCTTCTGGAATATCCTTCTCTGTTGGCGGACAGTAACTAATGTTGACTAAGTTGCACTGTTAGAAATGGTGGAAAGTAGCATTGTTAGGCCAAGAAGGGAAACTAATTTTTAAAGTAAAATGGTTCAGCAATTGTAGCAAATTCATAAGTTCTTTTGCCGTGTCAAATCCATGAAGCATGATGAAAAAATATAATGAACTTCAAAAAAAAAAAAAAAACTTAGATATGTGAAATATAAGAAATATATGTCAAAGAACAGTCTCTTCGTTTCAAATAAGGAGACATTAACACCTCTTAATGCCTCACCTGGCTAAATGTCAATGCAGGTTCTTCACAATTTTCTCCAGAATTCTTCTTAGTTATGCATGAGAGAGCAGAAGATACAACAGTTTCAGCCTGTGATGTAAGCAGTTGTTCAATTTAAAAGAAAAATAGAAACCCGACTTGCATGAACAATAGTACTGCAAGATAAGAAACAAACTAATAGGGTCAAATTAAGGGGGAGGTAACTTCCAACCTCAGTGACTCCTATTGCAAGGCGTTTTGAGTAATCATTTGTAGTATGTTGTTTGGCGGTACCAGTGACAGCATCATGGTGCTGTGCGATACCTAGAGCGTCTCCCAAACTAAAAGTATTGGGACCATCGGATCTCTTTCCCGCCAAGAATTCAAGTTGTCTTGCTGCCTATTTCAAAGATATATAGGGAAAATCAGTTCAAATTTACCATTAATAACATACACAAAGAGGCTCCATCCCGGATTGCTTTTCATTTACATGGAAAATCTTATGTCAAAACTCATATACAAAGGTCCTGGTCCAGCAAATTTGTGGTAACGAAAACTAGAGGGAAAATTTTGAAGAACAAGCAGACAGAATAGTTGAGTCTCAGGATATGTTAAGGGTGGCATTAAATGCTGTCTATACAGGGTTCCTCGTTATCTCATTCTGATTCAATATTTCTGCCCAAGAAATAGGAGGAATTTTGATGTCGTACCAAATAATATCCACTAAGCATCCGAACAAATCGTTTCAAGGCTGGCCGACTTGTGAAATATCCAGTCCAATAGGCATTTTGACCGTCTGCATACCTGCCAAGAATCATCAGACAAAGATATGTGTAGATTAGTCTAAGTAATTGAACTGGAAAAGAGAAAGGGGTAAATCAAAGGAGGCTGAGAATAATGACAAGGACAAGAACATGCAGTGCTTACGGAAAATAGTCATCAGTTTTAAGTGGCCATGATTCGTTTGCAGCATTTTTTGCATCAGTATATATGGATGGTGTAGAATACAATGCATTCACCCGGCCATCCTGAGAAAATTAAGCACAAATAATAATGAAACTGAAAAATGGAACACAAAATGCAAATTTAAACCAATTTTGTATCTGCAATCACAGATTTCTTTATCTAATTAAACTTAATTGCATGACCATAAAAGTCAAGGAGCTGTAGTGCATCATTCAGTAAACAAGGATATACAGTCTGATGTAATATTGTGCATCAAGTGTAAATTCAAGCTCAGATGCTATATTTTTGAAAAATTAACGATTAAATTGATTTTGTCATTTGAACTACCTCGTTAACATAGTGAATTAATTTATCCATCTGGTTGAACCAAGATGCAGCATATTGGTACTGGAAATCATCTCCCATTGTCCACATAACATGGTTTGTCCTTGTCACATTTGCCTAGACAAAATGAAGGGAAAATTAACTGTCATATGCGTCCTTATGGTTCACCTCAAGCAGCAGAAAATGCTAAAAGGCAATTTAGAAACCATAATACAACATGATTTCAATTGTTAAGCCCCAAATTCCAGAAGCAACAAAAAGAGAAAAAAGAGCAAACAGTTTACTTGGGTCATTGCAGCGTTAATAAAATCATTAACTCGCTGTTCAACATTGTAATCAAATAGAAGAGGATTATCCTGCAGTCATTGAAAGTAACACCAGGAAAACTTAATGTGAAGTGTGAGCAGCAGACAATATATATAGATACCATAACTCTTGTTAAACACTAAACCTGGACCGGCACAAAGTCATCATCCACTTCAAAATGGAAACCATTAGGGGGACTATAATGAACAGGAAAAGCATTGGCAAAAATCTGCAGAAAGTGCAAATAAAAAGTTAATATAACCAAACTCCGTACAGTAAGAAAATGTAAAAATAGCAGGATTTTCCATTCCAAACCTGAGATGAAGAACCAAAAGTTTTGGACCCACGCCATATAACCTCTAGACTTTTGTCATTCTTCCGTTGTGCTCTATCCTGATAATCAATTCTTGCAAAATGTACTGAATCAAAACCTAGCTGCAGGAACAATGCAACTAACCAAAATGTGTCATTTCTCCAGATTAAATAAGTGGAAACAAAATGTACCTAAATTGTTGACAAACTAAATGGCTCTTGAAAATATGGAAAAATTAGTTAACTGGAAAGAGTTGGGTAAGCTTTGCTTGTGAACAGAGTAATTATCCTGAAATTGGAATGGATTGATCAACAAATTGATTGAATTATGCACCTCAGCTCCAAGTAGGTAGCCTTGCACAGCAGAATGACCAAAAGGATCAATTTGCCATCCAGCTCGAGGAACCTTGTTGAATTGCTCCTTTATCATGCGATGACCTAAAGTCGTTTGATCAATCATGTCTATGTAATGTGTTGTGGCTTCATCATGCATACACCAACCACCATTACTGCAGATAAATCCCAAAAGGCTGGTTACACACATGCAATAATCAAACTCAATTTTCAAGTTGCTTGGCAATCAACGTACATGAATTCCAACAAGCCAACATCTACAAGTTTTTTCACTTGTTCTTGTATTTCCAGACTTTGTTCTGTCCACCATCTTTGGAAAAAAGCCTACGGTTCATATCAAACTTAAAAATTAGACGAAGGTAGCAACTAGAAAGTCAGAATTAGATGAAAGATTTGAGATTACTATCATAAAATCATTCTTCTAACAGGAAATCCAACTGTGTCAAACTTCTAATTAGGTTATTTCAGGAACTCAAAGAACCCCAAGAGGCAGCTCTTTACAGAACAAATGCACAAATGATTATAATTTCAAAGGTCAAACTTAAAAGTTAAACGTATATCGGTCCATAAGAGCATTTCTTTCTTCTTTAAAAACAAAATTAGATTAGAAAATAGCAAAAGAAAATATAATCCAACAGTAATCAAAATCAACCGGATTGATTTACCATCTCAACAAACACAAACTTCCTATTTGGATCACGAAGCAATGCTTCAACAACCGAGTCCAGCACATTCTGAACACAAGCACCCTGCACAGAAATAAAAAGAAACTTCAAAACTTCAAAACATCACAAAAAATTTGTTGTTATGGACTGCAATTCCTGGCTCACTTTCAGTCCCAGGTTCCCATGGTAGAACCATAACTGAGTAATAATAAGTAATAGCAGTAACAGGGTCAAAGTCAGAATATGAATCAACCTGAATGCTGTTGTTTGATCCAACATAGTACTGATCAACAGTCTTCAACCAGCCAACATCATCATGCGAATGCGGGACCAAATGAACGTTCAGTTTCCCAGGAACAATTCCAGCTCCGGTATTATACTTCACGTACACTCCTTTAACTGTTTTCACATTCAAACAACAAATAACAACAACAACAACAACAACAACAAAAGCTGAAGCTAAATGACTCTCAAGTTTTCTCATTTTCATTTTCTTTCGACCTAAAAATGATTCAGGTTTTGCACTGTTGCCATAGTTCATTTAAACACCTCGAACAGATAAAATCCAAGACTGATATGACAAAAACAAAAAGACAACGGAGCGTTGTTCTGGCATTTGCTGGCTGGCGGACCAACCAAAGCTCATTTCGTGAGGGAGTTTTTAAAGGGATTAACTAGATTTGTCTATAAAGAGTTGCGTATTCCGTGTAATGGCAAGTGTTATAGATGCAAAAGTTTGGAGGATTCTGGAATTGTTTATAAAGAGTTGACTACCATTCCGTGTAATGGCCAGTGTCAAAGATGCAAAATTTTGGAGGATTCTGAGGTAATTCCCCGTCTATGGGTCAGATTCAGAACTAAGAACCCAGAAGAGTAAGCAAATGATTCAGTGAGGTCTAGTAGATTGTCATAGGATAAGATTAGGAAATTGTTTTGAGAATAATTTCAGCAGAAAGTACCCAATAATCAGCACGTAAATGTGGAAGAAATGAACATGCAATTCGCGTGCAAAATGTCTTTTTGTGGCCGCCATCAACGTTAAAGCTTAGACGTAGGAATCCTTTCAAGTTCCAAATTGGAAATTTAGGAGTAATAGCTAAAGCTGGTTAAGCAATAACTACAATAGAGTTGAATCATAGGTTGCCTAATGTGGCTTGAATCGTTCATCATGTCAAGCTTGACAGTCTTCTTAAAATTTTATGGTACTTTCAGAACAAAACAGACATCTGTTTGCCGCTTGGATAGAGACAGGAGTTATCTTCATTGCTGATTCTTGCAAAAGAAATGGAAGAAAAACATCCTCCGCTATTGCTTGTCATTTGGTACCTAGAGAGATATGACTCACAATTTGGAGACTTCGGTCAATTTTAAGCGTTGGGATTTACTGGAAATGAACATAATAATCTTCCATGCTATGAGAACTTAAATCCTAATGTCCTTCGTAAAGTGTGGAAAACTAAAGATGGATTTCATTGCAAATAAATTTCCATACATGAAAATATATATAATAAATATATAACCGTGCAAACATCAATGAGATTCATTTTAACATTACTAATTTTTGACACGAAAATAGCAGAAGCTCTTCCAAAGCCCTTAGAACAAATAATAGCCATCAACATACATCTTGGTGGCCAGAATGAAGAGCTTCAAATCTGCACAAGGAATCTAATAAAAAACAAAAAATCAGTCATACTAGACACTACAACTGCCCAAAAGGTTAGTTAGGTGACTGTCAAATTAGAAGAATCTAGCACATATTGACAGTCGCTGTATCATGAACTATGCAAAATCAGATAGTACAACCTGAAAAAAAAAAAAAAGAAATCCAAAGAAACGTCACTTCTCCTCCTTCTTTGGTGCCTTGTCCTCATCCTGCTTCTGCCGCAACTGAGGGTAACATAATATCATCAGAAATCATTGAAAACAAATTTGGTTACAAAAAGAACATATTGCATATATAAATTAGAAATCAGACCTAAAAGTTTATGTTACAAAACTTATTTGATCAGAAAATTATATTGAAAAAACCTATTTTTGAATCCAGTGGTAAGACCACACAATTGAAGATAGCCTTACCACCTAAAACTCCAATCCCAGTTCAAACAGGATTTAATCTGAAGTTTTTAAAATAACCATGAACCACCAAAAACTGCAAACCCTATTCCAATCCCTGTTATAAATCATTTTATCCTAACACTAAGCCTGATGAGCTCACCTCAGACGGGTTTTGCATGGAAGCAAGCAACTCCTTAACTGAAGGATCATTCGGATCTACCCCAGGAAGCTGCAGAAGCAATTATTTACCATTAAATGATCTTCATTTTCTTAAGACAGAACACTGGCGTAAGGAAGAAAAAGATAAACAGAAATTGCAGCAGACATACCGGTGCAAGGATGGATGACATGAAGGACTGGTGTGCCAACAACTTGCTCACATCTGCCTGACTAGATGCATCTTTTGTACTGCCTTGCACAGATAATTGAAGAGCTGAGAGTATTGGAAATATAGGAAATTAAATAAGAATATAGGTAGAAAGAAAAATAATCTGAACATATCCAAGGACCAGGGCCTATACTTACATCAACAAAGTTTCCAAGACAGAAGAAAACTAACTTTTAAGGATGATTTAACTTTGCATAGAAGGCTAAAAATGGTATGAATTTTTTACTTATAGGAATCATTCAAAAAACTTAAATGACCCAAGTACTCTCTTTAGTCATCATTGACCATCAACTGCAAGCAGATAAATAAATAAATAAATAATGGAAACTTTCCTAACACCTATATAACTAGTGTTTTTTTTTTTTTTTTCACAAAGCAAGGAAATAGTTGTTATAGATGTGCTACTTCTCCAGCTGCCACTAATAAAAAAAAGGACTCAGACGTACTTACCTAATGCCAGCTCTGGATCATCAGCAGCTACATCTGACATGTCTGTATCCTGTAAATTATGGCTAGAGGCGGGCTCATCTATAGACATTGTAAAAGCCTGCTGTTGTAAAGCATTGTCATCATCCTGTAACCAACTCAAGGTCAGCTATGTCTCAACATGAAAGAATATGTAAGGGCCAATCATGTCTTTGTATGAAACAATTTTTCCACTTGAAGCAGCTATCCTATCAAACCAAGTAATAATGAGAAACAAAAATGATACTAGCCTTTTACAAAAGTAACTATCTAATATTAGACCACAACATCACAAAGAGAACTGCAAAATTAAACGGGAAGCTAATCGTACTAACTGATAAATCAGTTTTCTTATTATCAACTTCTGACGTTCCCCCACTAGCATGTTCAGTCATTGTTGCTTGCAGTGAGCTAGATTGTTCTTCCCCACCCTTTTCTTGTTTAAATGCCTTCTCTGCTGCTTTTTTAGCAGCCGCTTCTTGCCTGGCCCTCTCCTCTTCCATTGAAACTCTAAGAGCAAAGGCCAACTCAGGATCAAGGTTGGGATCCACACCAAACTCAAAACCAGAGATGCCACCGGCTGCAGCTGCTGCTGTCGTAGTGGCAAAACCGCTTCCATTTTCCCTGTCCCCAGTGAAAATAGGAGTACTGCCATGGAAACAAGATATATCCAGCTTCAGCAATAAAATCACAATTGTGAAGACATTAACATGCAGGAAAGAGGAAAAACCTGAACCACTAACCTTATAAGTTCATCAGAGAGAGCGATAGGACCAGCAAGAACATGAACAATGTGACTGGTATCATTATTGTTAACAGCAGCAAGAAGCACTTCCAGCTTCTCCGTCTTCCCTCCATCATCTTCACCAAAATTTACAATATCAAGAGCTACACTATTCTTTTTCAACTTCTTTCCAATAATCTCCAATGACTTTTTATCATGTTTGATAGGACTGCAAGCAATCATAGCACATCACAACCAAATACATAATGAAAGAAAACATTTCTCAATGAACAGACATCAACAATAAGAAACAAAACTTCCAGCAAAGACAACAATCCTTTGCTGCTGCTTTTTATTTTGGCGATGCTTAAGCGCTAACTGAGCCACTTGAATCCCAGCTGCAAAGTTCATTTCACTGCCTATTTCTAAGCCTAAACTAGGATATGAAAAAGTTCCAATTTAGCATATTTTAATATGATACAATGCTAAGAAAATTAGAATATAAGCCTAAAGCGATTTAAGAAACGAACCATGCATGCAACCTAAGATTTTGCCAAGATCACTGGTAGGAGTGACCAAAACACGAATTCCTTTTCCTGCCATTGTTAAAACTCCCACTGTATTCTCAGGATTAGACTGTAAAATGAAAACATCCGCAATTCAATTAAAGCTCTGACTTTACACAAAAATCAACTAAACCCTAAAACCCACGTGAAATAATAAAACACCATACAGTTTCAAAAATTCAAAAATTTCTTTTATTTTCAACTAAAGAAAGATAAAAGGCTTTCTTTTAATTCCGTTTACCTGAGTTTTAGCTCCGCAAATAAGATTAACAGCATCGACTTGAGCTTCAAATCTAGAGGGAAAGTAATCACCGCTTCGCATCCACCCCGAATTATCAATACAGATCATTGTTGCCTGTTGAGCGTACAAAAAATTAGGATCAAAACAATTGAATTAGAAGAAAGTTAAAAAACCCTAGAATTTGGGGGAGAAAAAAGAAATGAGATTTTTCTTTACCTCGAGCACCATTGTTACACGATAGCGAAGGGAAACGAAGGAAGGATCAAGAGAAAGAGAAGAACATCGGGGCTTACGCTTAGTAGTTTACTAGAAGCTGGCTTTAAAACGACGAAGTTTTGATTTGAACAATAAGTGCTCTTAGAATATAAAGAGGCTATGCAACCAATGAAACATCGCCACGAGTAATTATAGATATCCGACAGACAAAACGACGTCGTTAATCCAGATGCAACTGCTGATGTTTTCATATTTCCCTAATGAAATATTTTGAGTATTAACTAGATGGATAACGCATTTGTAATGTGTTTATATAAAATATTAGTAGGAGAAAAAGGGATTAAAAACTAGCGAGTGAAATAGTGGAGATTTAAGGACATTGTAACACTTTTTTATTTGGCCAGCTCGTAGATTAAGGTTTAACTACGAAGCATATCAAATTAATATATATATATATATGTTTGATGTATAAAATTATAAATAAGATAAAATTTGATTAGATAATATTATTTTATTTTATGTTTGACATATAAACGGATTAGAATATGGTAGTTTTATTTATTGATTAAATTTATATTTTTTCAAAATTTATATGATATAATTTTTAAAAATATAAATCAATCTCATGAAATAAAAATAATTTCCTTCATTTGATAAGGATTAAATTATTTTTTGTTAAAAAAATGATTAATTTTTTTTGCAATCTTATTATTCTTTTTAAATATAAATCAAATATGATATATAATAATTATTATCCTATTCTATTTTATCTATAATCTTGTATGTCATATATAATCATAGTCTCAAACTTAACCTTTAGTTAATATATCTGAAGAAGATCAATGACTAACGAATTCAGACAGGTTTAAAAATCATGGTGTCCCAAACAAGATACTATTGCATTGGTTTCCTTTTTTTTTTTTTTGGGTTCTTTTCAACCTAAAGAAATAAAAAACTAGGTCAATGTTCAAATTTGACATCATTATTAATGTCATTCATATCGTTATGACTTCCTTTTTAAATGTAAGATGGATGACCGCACTTGAAACTTTCCGGATCTCCCTATGATGAGCAACAAAGTTACAGTTTGAAAGCCTTTATGTATACGCCTGTCAATGAGTTGAAAAGGACCTTTCAACTCTGCAACTTAAGGAGAAAAGTTAAACTGCTTGATGCTCAAGCAATGGACTTGGCAGGAATTGGAAAACTTTCTAAACCTTTAAACTTTTATGTCCCTAGTCCCTTGTCCTTACTGAAATGAAAATTGAATGCTAGCACTGCTTTTTCTTTAATCTTCTGCTTTTCTTTTTACTTCAATGACATCATAAATCACAAACTAATTTAATAAACTTTGGCTGCTTTTTTTTATTTGCAAAACACCTTCAAATCACTGGAATCGATATTCCAATGGTTAGTTCTGAAGACAAACGCAAGTCTAGAATCGGTTGCAATGATTCTATCAACAAACTTGTTTTAGGAAGAAACACCTCCATCCATATAGGAATCTGATAGTCCTTTGGGTGGCAATTTGGATGGTTACTTGTGTTTAGCTTCTTTAGCTTTTATTTTTCTTCTAATTATTCCTAAACAACAGCGATTGTCCATAACTTTTCTAGACTTGGGGACGCCCAAAACTTCCCTACCATTCATCAAAATAAGCAAATTTCAATATCCACTCACTTCAGCTATCTAATCAAAACTATTGTGACGTTTCACCACACATTTGAGAGAAGGCCTTGATAAAATGCACACATCAATTCGGTGAGAACTTTTCAATGCGTAAACTGAAAGTCTTGGTTTTTAATATCCTGGACCCTTGTATTATGTAAAAGAAAATTATCATATAAACTGTCATTAAACCCTTTGATTCTGCCAAGCTGTAAGTAAAGTTAGCATAGCCCCAACTGTATCCTCAGAATAGAAAAAAAAAATTGCATTGGAGGAACTCAGAGCTTGGTGTTGGTGTGATTCCCTCAAAATGGCCTTACAAAACAACCAAAAGCATACACTTTTTCCTTTTTAAGTTAATCTCGTTTTGAGAAAAGGGCGATCATGCACCCTTATGTCACAATGAGTTATTTCGTTTTACTTTCATGATTCTTTCACTTTAGTTCGCAAGCTGTGAACCATAAAAATTCAATCGAAAAGCAGAAGAAAATAAGTAATTTTAGAAAAAAAAAAAAACCATATTCTACTTCTTAGACAAAGTGATTTGCATATTAATACGTGTTTAACATTAAATAAAATATCCATGATTTTATCCTACTTTCTTTTTTCTCTTGAAGTTGAATTGGGGAGTTGAAAGACTAAAAGAACAGAGAGAGGACAATAAATATAGTTTTAGCAAAACCAAGTTGGGTTGGGGAAAATGGTTGGATTCTGGTTGAGTCTCCGGTGGCCAAATTTGCTAGCCATTGACTGCTCAATGCAGCTGCCTGCATCGGATCCGTATCCGACCCCGAGTCATCAATTGTTCCTGTTGGCTTTGGGTCAGGATCCTTTGGAGATTTCAAACTGCACCAAAATTAATGCCACATTAAATACGCAAAAATCAATCTTTCAAGTTTCATATTTGTATCACATCAAGTAAATTTTTTTTTTTTAGAAATTTACCTTGGAACATTGGGACAGAAAGTGATGCTATAATCAGCCCCAATGCAAGTGAAAGTGCTAGTGGCATCATCAAAAGCATAGCTATAGGATTTGGGGCAAGCTGACTTGAATACTTCTGAATACATGGATGGTTTACAAGCGGCAGGACTATTGTAGACGCCGCTACAGCAGTACTCCGGGTTCCCAAAGGCGTCACAGGCGCTCTTACAGGCGGTGCCGCCATCAATTCTCAATTCAGACGGGCACTTTTTATTCAAATCCGTCATGCAGCCAGTAGTGGCACACTCTCCTGACCCTCCACTTCCTTCCACAATCATAGGCAAATTATAACCATCAACCAGGCTCACGTCATAGAAGTCCTGCGATCCTGAACCGAGTGTAAACTCGGCTAAGGTGGCTGGCGGTATGGCCCCAGCTCCATTGCATTCGACTTCGCCAGAGCCGCAGTCACCTGTAGCACATGACCCGTGGCCAGAGTCGTTGAAATTGCAACCTGTTCTGCCCCAGAAGCGACCTGCCCAGCCAGTAGGGGCTTGGAAAGAACGAGAGCTGCCTTTTGTGAGTTCAAAGCCTGTACTTTCCAGTTTTCTACTTCCGGGATTAGCTAGAATTCCAGGCCATACTGTGTAATCGCATTTGTTGATGAATGTGAAGGTGGCAGCCGTAACACCTAAAAAAAAGAAACAGAGGAAAACAGAGAAACAGAGGGTCAGATTGGTTACCAAATAAAAAGATTAGAACTTCACGAAAATGTGAACAACCCCATTTCTTAAAAAGCATATAATCTCATTACCTTCAAGAAAGACGGCGAGAATGAAGCTCAAGAACGTGATAAAAGAATGGTGATAACAAGAGAACCGAGCCATGAGGAATATATGTCTCTGTTTTTGTTGTCAAATGAATGTTTCTATATTGTCTCAAGTTTTTGTTTTGAATTTCTTATCTGAAATGGAATATTGGGAATGAAACAATTACCAGAAAGGAATTTAGATTAAGCAAAGCTAATAAGAAAAAAGAATAGTAGCCAAGACAAAAGCCGCTATAGCAAATGGGAAAGATAGAAGAAGAATGAATATGTTTGGGACTACCATCCATAAAACTCCACAGTTTGAGCCTTCACTCCTTTCATTTTTGCAAAAAAAGTGGATGGAAGAAGGCCGAGTTGAGTGGTGGCGGTGGTGGTGGTGGTGGATCTAACAATTATCTGCTCTTCATCTCCTACTTATAAAGGCAACATCCCTAAATAAACAATCAAAAATAGTAGGACCACCTTATCGTTATTTGTTTGCTTCTTTGGCCCCTATTACCTACGAAATTATGCTTTCCTCTGTTTTTTTTTTTTTTTTAAAATAAAATGTTATCAATGAGAATACAATTCAAGTTGTTAATACCAACAAGTTTTTCACAAAGTTACTATTAATTTTAGAAAAATAGTATTGTTTTATTTGAAAAAAAATACCACTTTCACTATACACTTTGTGAGTCCTTAAGGTCCACATTCAGTCATTCATATCAAAAGTTTTAGCTTTTACATTATTTAGGGCTTCATTGAAGAAAATCACGTGGAATCTCAAAAGCAAACATGTTGAGAATGAAAAAAAAATCTATTCTACTATAGTTATGGAAATGAAGATTTAAATGTGAAAAGAACTTATGTTGTGATTCTCAATAGCAGATAAACTATGAAAAAGAACCTTTTAAGCGATTCTTCTTTTTATTTGTTACTAGAAATATGAACTAGAAAATAAAAAATATCACCTCTCATTTTGTGATCCAATGATAAGCCTTAAACCCTGTTTTCCCCTGTTTGTTGTGGCCGTGAACTATAGGATGCAGAGAAATCAACTCGTTTCCCTGTTACATAGCAGAAGTTTGTTCCAGGATCCATCAAAGGATATGTTCCACCGCCTTACAACTGGTTGAGTCAGGTTCTGATTTCTTTGGGTCGTTTCATTTTGTTGATTTTTTTTTTTTTTAGAGTTAATTCAAGCAAGATTGGGTCAAGTTTTGAGCATAATGAACATTTTTAAAAAAATTGATTTTATTACAACTCACTATTTAACATGATCAAGAATTTGCATGAAAGACTCTTGTGAGTTTTCATGTAACATGTTATTTTTCTTTATTCCGTACATAATAAATACAAACATTTCACACAATTCTTATTATAATGAAAATAAAGGCTACTTCTCTATTAAGTAGACAAGCGAATATAGCTGGAAGAGATGGATTTTAAAGAAAGTAACCTGGATTTTTTTGGCTTCAGATTATATTTTGTTGCCTTGTACAAAGCCATTGGGGTCCATGGATGACCATAGTTTGCCTATGCTTGACCACTAAATTTGAGCATGAGTTTTTTCCATAGCAGGTTTATTTGAAATCTTTATTCCTGAATGAAATCTTTTTAACTTTTTTCCTTAAATGAGGTATGTAAGTCACGTCATCATTGCATTACTGCTTACGTAGACAAACTACTACATGGATTGATTTTTTTTTTAATAAAAATTCCATTTTATTATAAAAAATTTTTTTAGATTAATTACAAAAATAAAATATGAAAAAAAATTATCGTAGCTGTGCAATATGAATCCTGTCTTTTACGCTACGTCTTTTACATTATATTTAGATAGATATTAATAATTTTTTTTTTAAATGGTACATATATTTTTATTTGAATAATTAAAATTAATAAATAAAAAAATTATAATAATTATTGTTTGAATAAATAGTAAAAAAGAAAAGAAACAATTCATTATAATATTTTTTTCAATTGTAACTTTTTTTAATAAAGTAATATATAATATACAAATATCTCTTGATACTATATAATTTGTACAAACAAATCTTTCTAAACAAAATTGAGTATGTTTATTACGATAAAATATATTAGTTAATTATTGATTTATTATTAATTTTATATTTAATTTAATTTTTTAATTTATTTTGATAATAATTTGATTTATTTTATTATTAAGACTTAAAAAATCATAAAATATTTATAAATTGTGATATTATATAAAATATTCATAAAATGAAATTATTTTTGTAAAAAATATCAGTTATATAATCAAATTTAATGTTATAATAAAAATATAAATATAATATTTTTTATAAAAATAAAATTTTTTTAACTTTCCTTTCTTAAACTTTTCCTCCAAATTGATATATTACAAAAAGTAAAAATTATATGAGAAACTAAAGATTATTAAGTTTTTATGGTTTTTTTTTTTAAATTAAAAATTTATCTAAATAAAAAAGTATTTTTCTGTTTTCATTATATTTCTTTATTTTTCTTTCTTTTCCTTCTCTTCTCTTCAATCCACACATAATGTTAAAGTTATAAATAACCGAGTCTTTTAGAGGGAGTGAATTCCAAAATCTACTGACTTTTATTGAGTGAAAAATGTACAGCTAGTTCTAAATAGCTGAAAGCTTTTATTTCTTGCTGATTTAGCATAGCAGGATTGTCAGGAACGGGGCCTATGAAAGGCAAAGACAAATCTTTCTAGTTTCATGATAACAAACTGCATTGCCTATTGGATTTGTGATCTAAAATGCAGGATGATTTTGTTTAACAGAGGCCAGTAATGCCTTTTGCTTTCCATTTGAAATTGTGCTCACAGAGAAAAATGTATATGCATGGCCTGTCTCATTATGTTATGTCTGTTTTGGTTACAGTTACACTTGACAGATTGATTTCTCTGTTCTGTTTATGACCAAGGTCGGCAGGAAAAAAAAATGAAACAATGAACAAAAAGATGAAAAAAAAAAAAAATTAATAGCCATGTGAGTGTGATTCTTTTTGTCAGATAAGATTCTGTCCCCTTGGAGTCGCACGTTGAGTTATCTTCTTCCTGTAGCAGATGATGATCTCACAAATTATTAGAAACCTCTCCAACCACGACCCACGACCAACCAGGCCTTTGCCCTTGGACGATAGCCAACGTTATCAGGAATCTAACCCATTTGGCCAGAGAAGTCGGTATTGTCGACATTGCTTCGGAAAGAGCAGGCAAATCACATGGTAATTGACTGGATGCTATGCAACTACAGCCTTGATCATTAAACAAAATTGTTTATTCTAGCAGCATCTTTTTGCATGTTTCATGGGTTCGCCACTTGTTAACAACACACTTCAAAATCTTATAAACAACTTCTTGTTAAAGTCTATCCAACTGGTCAAGTTAAAAAGTAAATGCATGATGTGCACCAAACGCCAAAACTTGTTCTTATAATGATTTTGTCTTTCACTAACAATCAACCGACCCAGCAATCAAAATTAAGCACTTACCAAGTGGGATATCTAGTCTAATCTTAATCTAAGTAATCTCCCTGTTCAGTTTTGGTTTGTTGCTTATGTTTCTTTTTTGTCAAGTTTTCTGATGTAATCATGCCGGATGGTCATGATATCTGTTCTGAAAACTGTATTTTATAAAAATAATCATTTGGAAAATGAGTTTTTTTATCAAATTAAGAAGATGGCTTCTCTTAGAAGTTAACAATGTTCAAACGGGTGTTAGCGTAGTTAAACACTAAACAGACATTATAAAATTGCAATAATAGAAGAGCAAAAAAACTCTCAATAATAGAAGTTATTTAAAAGATGAAAGGTCAAACAAAGAACAGCAATCGTGGGGAGGGAGGGAGGGAACATGGGAGATGAAAAAGTAGTGCAATATGCCCTCAAGCTTTGCCTTATCAAGTTATGGTTTGGCTGAAGTCTGAAAGTTCATTTCATCTTCTGCTTTTATAAATATTCTTGATTCAACATTGCTTGGTTTGTTTTAGTGTGTTCATCGTCTCAATAAAGTCTGTTCCTCCATTTACTAGCAATAATTCTTTTGAGGATGAGATCAGTTACTTTGTTGAAAAATCAAAGGTTCATTGAACAATATGAATGCATTCACTCTACATCTCTGCAACTTCAACAAGCCAAGTCAGCTTTTTCATCGTATTCAAACGTCAAATCTGAGGTGGAAATCAGCTTGAAAAGCTCACAAACGTGTTAGGCAAAACGTCTTTATCCGATAATGCCGACTAAGCATAATCAAATAAAACTTCAATTTAATTATATTAATAAAAACGAAATTAAATAATTAATCAATTAATTATATAAAAAATAATAATTTAATATAATTCGATCTAACCGACTTACGTCCACATATAAAAAATAAAATTCACTAGTTGTAAAGAATTACAAATATACAATTAAATCAAATATTCATAACTAATACTCATAAATTCTCTCATCCATCTCCTTTAGTATTATGAAATATTCTCACTTCAAATAACACATATATATATATATATGCGCATCATTTCAACACAAATGAACACATATTCATTTGTATTCGTATATCATATCTATATAAATCATTTTAGTCTTTTTTAATCCACTCCAATAATCTTATAAGGTGTTCATTTAATAAAACTCTATAATTCTTTCACATTTTATATCTTTTTCTCACACCTAATAAAGATTTTACCATTTATAAATATACAAACTTATCTATTAAGAATTTTATTTTTCTTAAAATTTTTCTTGTTCAAGTTAAACATACTTATTAATAATTTTTTTCTTTTAAAAAATTTTTTCTATAAATTTTTTTATTCATTGAGTAATATTTAATCAAGTTTAAACAAAGATTTGAGTCACAATTCTAAAAAATACGCAGCCCTTTGGTAGGTCAAATGCTTTGTGAAACTGTATTCAATGACATTATCCATTTGCCGCCATCCCAGTATTTCAAACGTCTTTCCTTGCGTAGATTACTAGAAAGTTACATCTTTAACGAAACTGAGCTAGAAAAATGGGCCATCAAATTAGAAGATAAAAAAGATGGCTTTTTACACCTTGAATACAACATATGAATACGTGTTTATGAGAGGTTGACAGATTGAAAGGCCTTTCCGAAGGCGAAAAGAACGCTGCAGTTTTGCTACTTATGGCTGCTGCTCTACGAAAATACGTGAAAAATATGACTTTGAAGCATCATCAATGAGTCATGGATGTCAAATTTCATACTACTATTTTACCCCAAACAATTTAGAGCCATAAACTATCCTAATTCGTAGAACTTTCAGATTACTTATATGATACTCCTTGAAAGATTCTGAAAATTATTGGACAACTTTTTGATATTCCCTAATAATTCCAAAAATTATAAGAATGACACATTTAAATGACAAGGGTGCTTGACTTCAATCCTCTCTTGTTTTATCAGAAATATGTGTGATACCTGAAACTAACCGGCCTAAGCTACTTTATGAATGGTCCAGGTTTTCCTTCTTGGTCATCTAGGCTTATCCACAAGCCCGATGTGAGCCTGTTCCACATAGCACATTGTGAGGCAGGCCAAATTTTAAGATAAAATTGTTAGAAAGAATAAATAAATCGTCTGCACTGATCATGATGCACATTGTAATTTTTGCCACTTCTCTTCCCAAGATCCATCAAACATGACAATCTCCACTACAAGTCAAATGATTAACAAACATTTTTTCTCATGCTTCCTTGACTTCAGCCTTCAGGCGTTGATGCTCCAAGTGTTCCACAAATTTATAATTTTTTAAAAAAAAAGTAAAAAGGATAAGGGCTTGTGCAACTTCAAAGAATTCACCCGAAGTTGTTAGTGCATTTGACATGTAAGTTCCTATAGGGAGTCATCCATTTCCTACCCGGGCCTTCCTCTGTTCCTAACAATATAAAGTTTTAAAAGAATGCAATGCCCAAAAGGCCAAATCAGAGCACCGCTTTTTAAGGCTAAAATGTCTTGAAAATATACATGACACTCTCAGGAATTTGGGTTTTTAAAATCCATTATATCTTGTGATGTGGTAAAAAAAGCTTTGATCATGGGGAGAACATGCATCTGTTTCTGCTGAACATGCATCTGTTTCTCCTGTTTAAACATATCATGAAAATAGATTAAACATGCTTAGATCAACCATAAGAAATTGAAAAAACTATACTTAAACCATCAGATGCATTCAATTATGTAATAATCATCATTGGTAAAATAATTAAGTTGTGATGGCAAAACCCGCACCTTATCTTAAACAAAACAAATCATTAAATAATTGTCATCATCAGGCATAGGCAACAGGAATAAAGGGCAAAAGAAAATGCACATCCGTATAAACAAATAGAGACAGATGAACTCATCACCGTTGGCATTAGTAGGCGACAGTGGCGAAAAATTTACATAGCCAACTAACCACTGTCTGTTCTACAATTTATGTCTAATCATTTGAGAATAAGCTTTCATCTTGCCAGCTCTTGATCATGCTATTTCCTTCGAGATCTAGAGGAAAAAATAGCTGGTGATGTCTGATTTATGTTTCTATTTGTACGTATACTACATTAAAGGAGAAAAAAAATCATAGTTTTTGTTCTTCAAGTTGGAGAAATTTGGAGAAGGAAAATGCAGGCCGGTGATAATGTGATATCATTGGATGTTTGGATTGTTGCCAACTCTCACTTTTCACTCAATTCCATTCAGGTTGCAAATTGCTGATGAAGTTTGCTGGGACCCAACTTTTGGAGGTCAAAATTGCCATATAGAAGGAACACAATGAAAATGGCTCCTAATGTTGTTGGTTAGCAGTTTGGCTGGAAATGTCAAAAGAGATGCCACAACTGCCATATTGCTGCCAAAATGGTGATGGAACCCCCAATGAAAGCTGATGAAGCAGGCCGAGAACCAGCTGAGATGTCAACCGCCATGGGATTGGAGGACTTAACACTGCAAACACAAATAATCAACACCAGCAGCTGAAATCCAACTAACAAATTTGAAAGAAGTTTCAATGTGATGACAAGAATGCGTGAATATAAATGGTGTACTGCAGTCTGCAGTTCCGGCACAGGACGTGCTGATTTTTTAATCTTCAAGCATATGAAGATAAACTTTAAAAAGAACGTACAGGCCATATCTGGGATTAAAGAATCTATGGTCCCTCGTATGACTTCCAACCAACTTAGTTAGGAACTCAAACCTTGAGAATATATAGACTATAGAGAAATTTCAAATAAAAGATTTGGGTTGACTTTGATTTGTTTACTGGCTGATAAGAAGCGAATTTACGAGACATAGCGAAGAGGGAAAACAGATCAGACCGAATTTGGTAAATTGACTCTAACCAACCAACCATAAGTGATCATAAAAGCCAAGGGACTTGCTATACAAAAGGTAAAATGAAAATATGCATCTTTGGTGAAAAAACGATCATTTGTAGTAATATAGTGCATTTATTACCTGGTGGAAGGGGTAGGGCAGAAAGTAATAATATAATCAGCACCAGCACAGGTGAAGGTACTGGTTCCATCATCATACGCATAGCTATAAGCTGTTGGACATGCAGCCTTGAAGAATTGTGAGTAAGAACTGGGCTTGCACGTATTTGGAGTAGCATAAGCTCCGATGCAGCAATATTGGGGGTCCCCAAAAGCATTGCATGCACTCTTACATGCCACCCCTTCACTCCCATTGACAACCTTAAGCTCAAGAGGACAGTCACCATTCAAATCCGCAGCACATCCAGCTGAGGAACAGTTACCTCCAGTTCCACCATGTGCGGATACCATCATTGGTAGATTATATCCATCAACAAGGCTAACATCATAGAAATCCAATCCCCCAACACCATTTAGTGTAAACTCTGCAAGGGTGGCAGGAGGGATGGCACCAGCACCAGAACATTCTGGTGTAGATGAGCCGCAGTCTCCAGTGAGGCAATAGAATTTACCAGAAGAGTCTTCTGTGCAAAGTGTTCGACCCCATAAGCGACCTGACCAAGATCTTGGAAAAGAGATGGATGTTGATTCGCCTGGTTGAAGAATGAAACCTGAAGGAGAAATTTGCGGGGTTCCAGCACCTGATAGCACCCCTGGCCAAACTGTATTGCTGCATTTGTTTACAATTGTAAACATTGATGACTGAGCGCCTGCAACAGGAAAACGAGTTTAAACCAATACCCACAGAAAAAAAAAAACAAAAACAACAATGAAAAATCAATTGGTAAAAGAATTGTGACCTGAGAACAGTTGAAGGAAGGATATAACCAACACAGTGGAAAGCTGAAGTCTAGCCATTGCATAAGGAGGAGGGAAGAACGAAGAGCACTTAGTAGAATGTGAACAACTAGATTTGCTAGCACTTGGTGGGAAAAGATCTAGAATAAGATGGGGCAGAGGCCGACTAAGAGTGTTTATATAGAAAATTAGATATAGAGATGGGGTATGTGTATTAATATAAGAAACATTAAACCTAAAAAATAGAATAGAAGTGGGTACCATGTGATGTCATAGAAGAGGAATGGGTTGTGGGGGTAGGGCAAAGATGCATGTAGGCTGAGAAACATGTTCAAGCTGCAAACAGTTAAGTCGGCCATTAGTGTAGTGTCCAATGTATTTCATGCTTTGCTTACTTAGGAAAAGCAAAAAAAATTTGTCGCTATAAGCCAACGTTAAAAACAGAAACATAGAGAAATAAAAATAGCAGAAAACATCAATAGTTAAATAGCCTTTTGGAAGTATTTATGAGGTGCATTGGGATTCTCTGCCTGCTGTGTATTTCTTCCCCTTGAGGTTACATAAAGAACGGCTCCAAACTTACATACAAATGGATAAAGAAAACAAAGGACAAAGTCCATACTTGCAATTTGAGACTGCGATTTTGATAAGAACATTATCACACTTCAAAACAAGAATCAAAGAGTCCTGTGATTTTAACCAATTCAGTCAAACATAATTTCATCTCGAATGTTTATCTGCTACGCAACTTGTGAGTAGTCACCAAGCAAGTTATCCAGGGGGTAGGCAGGGGATGATAATTGTGCAACTTGTTATTATTTTAAAATCGTTCGGTAAGTGGAGAATGTGGGGTATAAATGTGAGTTGGATGAAGCCTGTGCAACATCAGCCCAAATCTAGCTCCAATACGTTCGACTTAGTAAAGTATCTAGCTGATTTGAATACGTATGGGTCTTCTTTGTCCACTTCGTAATATTATTAAAGCAAAAAAAAAAAAAAAAGAGAGAAGGAAATGCATATAGAATAGTCTGGTGGCTGGTGGTGGCCTTTGTTCGGGTCACTTGACCTTGAACTGGGATTTACTTCTACATACAAAGCGAGCATCAGCAAATGCTGATCAAATATTAAACCTTCAATAACAAGTACGAGCAAGCAACTTGATGGCTACGGTAAACTTGATGTGCTAATTAGTATTATCCTAACTGTGATCGATAATAGAGATTCGTACTCAATATATAATATATTATTTATTTTGATTTAAAAATTTCATAAAATGTTATAATTTTATTTTATAAAAATATTTTTATAAATTTAAATTTAAATTTTTATATATATATAATTTTTATCGAATAAAAAATATTTCATAAATTTAAATTTAAATATTTATATATGTATAATTTTTTATTCATACATTTTTTTTAATATTGGAAGAAAGGCGTTACACCGATATACATAAACTGAATTCGAATTGGGATTTTTTCCTATTTTTGGACTAAGTGTGCCAATGGGATTTAACAGCACAAAATAAGTTCATTCTCGTCCATTAATCAAAGAATCTAAACAGTTGACTACTTCTGGGAAACAGAGATCAATGTCAAAACGATTTTCCGGACTTATCAATCTCAAATAGTCTAGCCCGTTCTATGAGGCATACATTCCTGATTCCTTCCTGGCTCGCCGCATTTAAAACATTCTGTTACACGGTTACTATCTCAATCCCTGGCTAAATGCGCAAACCGTCCACAAGTAACACAGCCTCCGCTTCCGCCAGCACCGCCACTGTTTCTATTATCCTCTCTGGCAAAGTGACCATATTTCCCACAGTTATAACACTTCCCAGGTCCACCTGCTATCTCTCCTACACTCCCTGGCAAAATGCCCCTTCTCACCGCAATCATAACAAGAACCGCCGCCACGCACCACCACCGCTGCGACGATCTTTCTTATTGATGGGACAGCCTCCGGTTGCGGTGACATCAACAGCCTGGGTCTTGCCGCCGTTGCCTCGAGAGGCAGTGAAATCAACAGATTCGCCTCGGTAAGGCTACGTTAGCCCTCGGATTTGATTGAAGATTGATGGACGAAGAGATATTCGCCGCCATCGTCGGGTCGAATAAAGCCGAAGCCTTTTGGGTCATTGAACCAGGGGACCTTCCCGGCGTATCTCGATTGGTGTTGTTCTCCTCGTTGCTTAGCCATTGATGTGAGTTGAGATATTTGGGATCTTATAAAGGTAAAGACTTTCAAAGAGTTTTGATATTGAGTCAAGAAAAATGTCAAATACTTCATCTAAAATTCGGAGGTAAAGCCCTCAAACTCCAGCATTGAATAGCTTTTAAATGATTTCCCCAACCTTAAAGAGGAATCAGAATAACTTTATTTATTTGCAAACAAGTAATATCTGAATCAAGTTCAAGTGTTCAACTCCCTCTGAAAATCCATGAATGGAAACAGAAAAAGGTATTGCTGTATTGGCATTGTAGATGTGTGGGAATGGTCACCCCTGTCAAGTCCATAATGTTCAGTGAAATGAAATTTATTTATATAAAAAAATGTTCATAAGAATAAGCGGGTGAAGTTGAAGTTTTGATTTATTACTCCTCAAGTTGGCTATAAAAAACCGTTAGTTTCATTTTTATAGGCTCCAATTAAAAATTACAAAGGAAAAAAAAAAAAAAGACACTCCCTATCTACACAATGCAGTGAAATCTTTATAGGATGGCTGCACAAAAAGGAGCAAAAAAAAAAAAAACAAGGGAAGAAGGGAGGGAGATTTGTACAAGTAATCTACAGTTAGTAGACTTCAAGATTCCATTGCTCAGATTTCTTCAACTGCCTTTTATACTCAGTCCAATCGATACCTGAAAAAATTGTACAAATACAGCATTAGAGGAAGATAATACATGGAAATTCACTACCTCGTCTTGAGAAAAATTGGAGTTTTTTTTTTTTTTTTTTTTTTTGTTTCTTTTTTACCGTCTGCTGCAGCAAGTGTCATCAATTCCCTTCTCCATTCCCTTCAACCCACACATGTAGACGTAGGCGTTGTCTTTCTTGAGTAACTCCCATAGCTCTTTTGCATATTGAGCCATTCGGGTCTGAATGTACATCTTTTCGCCTTTCTCGTTAGTTTGCTCTCTGCTCACGGCAAAGTCCAGTCTGAAGTTGTCAGGGTACTTCTCCTTCATTTCCTCGAATTCCTGTTACTCAAAATTTGACGTTTCAGTGAAAATTTCTCAACAAGAAAAATCAGCAGTTGCTTCCTGGAAAGTTAAGAGGCAAAGCATCAGAATCAGATCAGTCAAGAATCTTTTTCTAGCTTGCTTACCTCCTTGTACAACAATGAGCTACTCGTAGGCACACCGAGGAAGAGCCATGCCAAACTATTGAACTACAGAGCATGTCAAAGTTGAGTCACTTATGGGTACAACAACCATATCTACTTGGTTCAGGAACTATTCTTGTTTGCTTCGTGGTCATGGAGATCGATGCTATTTTTCATGTTTACTTTTAGCCTTGATGAGTTAATGCCAGAGGTTATAACATGTTTCATTGCTTGCAACAGCTTAATATGGATGTATTAATATAACTATCATGATTGTTTTTAATATTGTACATTAGCTGCATTCTTTGGTATGTGACACATTGAAGTATTGAAGGCTAGAAATAAGACCTTTTGGAAGAAGATAAAAAAAAACATATATTCTACCTCGTAGTCGTCATGCTTCTCAAAGAACATTTTCAACAAAAATGATCGGAAGGGGGCGATTCCAGTTCCAGTAGCAAGCTGAAATGAAGTAGCAGAGTGTGAAAATCTTGTGTGGGAGCTGCACTTGTTGAATATAATGGAATCTCCAAACAATGCCTGATAATCAATTTAGTAGTGTTAACAGCTCGGCAATATACAAACCATGATGATTGTGGCATTGGGATCTTTTGGCATAAGCATTTCCTTTCCAACAGGTCCTGTGATCTTAACTTCTGCCCCAGGTTTCAAGTCACCTGAAGATAAGATTAAAGCATTTAGCATCAGTAATGCAAATTAACTGAAGCAACCTCCAGAAAGCTTTTCTACCTTTCAATAACAATTTGAGTTAATAATACTGATAACTATAACACCAATGACATGAATTGTTGGAAACAATAGTAATACAGTATGATGAAACATAAAAGTCCTGCATTCTTACACAAGAAATTTGAGCAGACTCCTTTAACAGGTTCTCCTTTCTCATTGGTGTAGACTAGCCGTTTCACACAAAGGGACACCTGCAAAAATACGATGAGACCATATCAAAAGCAAACCAAAAAAAAAAAAAAAAAGAACAGAAGAACATGCTAATGAGTAATGGCTTATAGATTTTGACAGTAGCTCAAAGAAAATTAAAACTTGAATATGAATCATGGTCCTATAGACGGTGCACTCACAGTTTTGGAGTCTCCAAAATCACCAAGAGCACTGCTAGCAATAGAGTATAATCACAACTTGTGAGGTTTCCCATTCTTGTCAATGCCATCTGGAACCACCCCAATGGATTGCCCTTCTCTGTAGGGAACCTCTCCTGAGCCAATCCAAACAACCAGTCAGCTAAGAAGAACAGTATTTTTTTATTCAGCTAATTAATAATCTCAAGAATAGCAAACATTTTTATTACTTGATCATCAAAAATTGAACATAAAAGTTGGCAAATGAGCATAATGTTAGAGTTGTAGATGATATCATAACAATGCAAGTAGCACTATGGAATGGAATTATCGCCATTAGCATTAGATCAGTGACCAGCCGACAACAGGAATCCGGCCCAACAAACAATGTTTCTAGCGAATTCTTGCCTGGTTATTTGATTTTGAATTGACTTTGAACATTTTAACTAATGTATTTATACTTTATGTGCGTAAAATTCTATATCCGCATGAAAAAAAAAAAAAATCTTCCAATATTTTCTCTTATTCGTTACACATATATAGGCATGTGCAAATGTGTTGGAAAATTTTAATTTAGCAGAACTATCTATCTTTAAAACTTTAGCTTATGAAGTACAGCAGATAGTTTGCATACCCTCAGTGCTGAAGACCATGTGCCAAGTCTCTCCAGGAGCATCATCACCGGTGATCTTAGTGTTTAGAAGGCATCGGCCAATGTAAGGGGTCTTTGGCTTGAACTTGTTAACAACAACACCTTCCTTATTTTTCTTGGATTCCTTTACAACTTTAGCAGGTGCTTCAGTTGTAACCTGGGCTCTGACTGAAACCACTCTCCCTCCATTAGAAACATCTCTGTAGTAAACGGGAACCTGAGAAGCAAAAAGCAGCTGATGAACTTCCAATATATATGTATAAAAGTGATAACATACATATTACTATGTCATTAATAATTATGATATCTTTACCTTCTTGAAGGTGATTCTTTCTGGAGAAATTATGATAGAGGTTCTAGTAGGAAGAGAGGTTGCCTTGGTAGAAGGTAAAGAGACAGCAGCAGTTACAGCAGCCATGTTTTTTTGATAATGAAGAAAGAAGAAAGGAGAGGAGAAAATGTTATTTGATAGGTTCGTGAAGAAGTGAGGTGCTGGAAGTCAAAAAAGGATGTGATTTTTTTTTCTCTATTTGATTGGGTTTGGATTATGAATTGGGTGGAGATTTGAAGGCCAACACAGTGGCCGGCGGCCTCTGTGAGGATAAGTCCATGTGTAAATGTATAACTCTCACACCAGTATTTATAATGATTTCTTCTACTCTATTCCTTTCTAAGCCACTAAACTTCATTGATTTTTGATTCACCATTGTGATATTCTCAATAATCTATCCTAACATAGTGCATATCACCATGGAAATTTATTTAGAGTGAAACTTGTCAACTTGATTACAAAATAATGCATCATAAATTCAAAATGAATTGGAAAATTGGAATCGGGAATCCAAATTCTGTGGATTATCTTCTCTCAGTCAGTCCACCAAGGTAATTATGGGCAAATCTTTAGCCCACTTTAAAATTCCAAGTAGTAGTCAGGCCCTTGGAGAAGTCCAGTTAGTTTGATTAGAATCCTATGGTAGGCCTATTTCAGAAGTCCAGTCAGTTTGCTTTAAAGCCTACTTAATAAGTCCAATTCCTCTAATTAGAGACCACATTCTAGAACCCAACAACAGCCTTGAGTCCTTCCCTGCCATATTGTTCTCGCTTTCAGTTGATTCTTGATTTTTTTTTTCTTTCAGTGCTAATCCCTTTGTCTTCATAAAACGCATGATATGTTAAAATGCCGATTTTTATGTCCGAAGTTACTATTATGGGGCTTATACCCAAAGTGTTGGGGCTAAAAGAGTGAAATATATTAGCTGTCTTACTTTACCGCCCATGACTTAGTGCTGGTTTTTCTTTTTGTCCTGATGTAGGAGTACTGCAGGACATGGGATTTGATTATTTGCTTGCTACAGAATCAACCATTAAAACAATGGGGTATCACCAAATCAAGGTGCTCCATATGATTTGATGTAAGATGATAATAGTATCAATTCAGGAGATTACTAGGTCAGCCAAAGAAATAATATTCGCATGGTTGATATCTTGACAGTTTATGATATTTAGAAGGAGCATACAATGATGAGTGGAAATAGATGGAATAATGTGAATCCTACAATTGAAAGTGGTGTGTTCGTGTGAATCTCTGGGGTTAACACCTCACAGAGTAGAGAAAAAGAGCAAGACAGATTGCATGGGCAAAGAATCGTGCAATGCACTTTCAGCATGAAATGCCACCACCCCAAAACCATGTTTCAGCACAAAAGGCAAACATGGCATACAGGAAAAGCAAAATAAAGCAAATATCATCAGTTCAGATTTTGTTAACTATCATTTTTCAGTAGTGTCATGATTTGAAGCTTGGTGAATATCTGCTTGATTTTATCTGTCTATGAATTTCAATTAATCTAATGTGGGATTCTTAGAATTCTTACCACCATTCCTGGATCGCTAACTGAAATTAACTATATAGTAATTTGGGGCATAAATCCATTATTCTCTTTTGGGTGGATGTGACAAGTATGGATATTTCTCCACTTGAAATTGTTAATCATATATTTTTGAACAGGGCAATTTTGATTAGTTTTGAAAAGTTTATGAGAGGCTGCTTTCAACCTATGAACGAGTGGTTTAACTTACTATGTTTTCTTCCGTTTTCCTTATGTTCAACCAAACAATCACAAGATAAAAGTATACTATTTTCCCTTCTCCTTTCCCTGCACGGTGTAAAAGTTATTCATGAACTTGATTCCGGATCTTGGAACATTGGTAAAATCATAACTGGATTGACTGCGGAGAGCAAATGTTACCCATTCTTATTTGCTACTAACCACTTGCAAAAAGGTAGTTAAATGCAGTCAGCTCTTCAGTTGAGGTAAGGAAAATACATGGCAGAATCAGCTTCCTGCAGGTAGCGAGGTAAGTAATTTGAAGCTTGGCGATGGAATCTGATAACAAGACCAACAAAAGTAGTAATTCAGACGTACCCTTATCTCGTTTCTAGCTGTTCCAACCAAGATGTCACCAACCTATCAAGTATCAATAGCGCAAATTGAATCCTTTTCGAAAATATAAATAACTTTAATTATAAACCAACAGATAGTTGCGATTCGCAAGGGGAAGAAATTCCGAAGGGAACAAAAATGAAATGGTGGAATACATGATATGACCCGTTAAATATCATGGAACTCCTTTCTGGCCTTACACCAGCCATGCAACTCAAGGCAGTCGGTGAGGACACAGGAAAGAAGCAGCAACCTCAGCAAATGACTGAAAATACTAATGATCGACTATGGAAGACCTCTAACTGAATGTACACCCCATTAGTGTGGAGATCCATATCTAGCCTATGAGATATTGTATGTTTTGATATAAAAGTTTACGATTTTATTTCACAAAATATACTTTACAGATCTAAATTTAAATTTTTACATATATATTATAATAAAATTTCATATTATCCTAACGTGAAATTGAAGTGTCACTGATAAAATAATAAATTCGAAACAAAAATGATGGTATACTGTTTTAAACATGAAAATACAATGGAAAAGTGATCGATCAACGAAATCCCCTTGAACCCCTAGACTGATACAGCTCCAATCTACTTTTGGCCTCTTGTAAAAGTGTGTCTACTGTTTCATCCTGGGTCACGTAGGATTGCTTGGATGCCCATTCAAGCACAGCAAGCACCTCAGCTTGGGCGAGTTCTTCGCTATCGGGTACATGGCAGGCAATGTAGCATAGGAGAACTAATCCTGAGAGTTGAACAATTTGTTCCCCAAAATACACTAGCTGAATCAAATGCTTTGCACCTCCTGCACTAATGATTGCCTTGGAGTGATCAAGGTGTAGATAGTTGTCCGTACAAGCAAACTTGGTAAGTGCAATCGCGGCCTCCTTGGAAACTTCAGCTTCCCTCTCATCAAGAAGTGTAACCAATGGGGAAATCATCCTTGTTTCCGTTGCTCTAAACGTCCTAGCCAAATTACCAATAGCCTTGATACAAGGAATCAGCAGTTCCGAATCAACCGTCTCAATAATCTTCAACAGCTGCTTGACGACAAGCTGACAAGCATGAGAATTCGGCTTAAACGCAGACCTTCTCAAATCAGTATCCTGCTCTGCCACAGCTGTAATCTCCATCACTGCCATAGCCGAATTAAACTGCACGTCATCAGTTCCTTGTTCTAACAAAACCGCAAAACATAGCAATGCTCTGGACTCAGTAATACTCCGACAAATAGCCGAATTCCCCTTAGCAAGATGCCATAAAGCTCTAGCTGCCATTGCTTTCATATAAGCCTTGGTAGCAGGATCTTCCAATTCCCTTCCCTTATTAATATTCGCCTGCTGATGTTGATAATAAACTTGATGAATGCCCTGGCTACTACCCCTAACATGATTATTACTCGGTTTTTGTGGCAATTTCACCCCTCCTTTCATTGCCATAGTATTTGCAACCACATTATGCATCTGAAATGGACTTTCGTTCCCCATCAAATGCGGAATCTGACTCTGATGATCTTCATCAATAACATTTTTCATGTTATTCACATTCGAATTATTACTACTCGCCATAACCACCGCGTGGATCGACGTCGTTTTGTTACTAGTAATTGCATATTTGGTATGGTCTTGAATAGTTTCAAACGCCAAATGACTAACAAGTAATCGGATTATCTTATGCTGAGCGAACAAATCTTGACATTTTGGATAATTAGCTGCCAGCTCAGACACCGCCGATGCCGTCATCGCTTGAACTTTCATCGGCCCTTCTTTTAGAATTTTCGCAAACACCGTGCAAACGCCAGCGTGGATCATTTGCTCGACGCTTTCCGGGTCCCGGCCCAGAAGCCCAATTGCTTTGGCGGCGTTTTGTTGACCTTCCATTGTCCCTTCTTTGACTAATTTCAATAACGGTCCAACCCCTCCTTCTTCTATAATCAGTTTCCCGTACCGATCATTGTCTCTGGCTAGCGAAACAAGCGAAGCAGCCGCGTCGGACCGGTCGTCGAGTGAACCAGTGTAAAGAATCGCGATTTGTTCCCAAATTAGGCATAAAATTGGCTCGTTAACAGCAATAGGAGGAAGGCCTAAGTACTCATCGACGCGATCGTCAGCTGAAGCTGAGACGCGGAGAAGCCAGGAAACATTGCCGATTGAGTTCTCGATCTGAGAAGACATTTTACGGAACGCGGCAGCAGGGATGATTGTGAACACGCGCTTCATAAGGCCGTTGGCGTGGCATTTGAGGACCAAAGAAAGGGCTTTAACGAGAACTTGTTCGGTATCATCGATTATGCGACGCGTGGGACGTTCGTAAAGGTCGGAACTTGCACGCGCCGCTTGTCGAAGCAAGCCAACGAGTTTCTCTGTCTTGGACTTAAGCTCCCCGCACTCTTGCTTAAACGAACTAGCTTCATCCACCGCTTTCATTACTTGGTCCGCTAACTGAATCGGCTTCGCCAAGATTTGCTTCACCATATCCGCCATCATAACAACAAAAAAGATTTTTTTTTTAAATGTAAACTTGATCAGATAAAAAAACAAATTAATCAAATTGAAAAGAAAAGGGCTGATCTTTATTGGGTTTTGGTCTCTGGGGTTTTTCAGCAAAAGGCTTAATAAGCAGAGAAAATGGTGAGAGGAAGTGGGGTTGTTGAAGGTGTTTGATTAACAGAAGTTTTGCAGAGTCAATTCCTGCTTTAGAGAGGTAAAGGAGATTGATGAAAAGAGGGAAGAATCATCCATGGCTAACCAGGTTTACATGGTCAAACGCGTTTTCATCTGCTTCTTTCTAACATTTTCGGAGAAATTGCTTTTTCTAATTTATTAAAAATAATTGTAGCTTTTCTTCACTGAAGTCTAAAGGTACCAGACAAAGTTTTTTTTTTTTTTTTTTGATTATATCATGACAAAGCCTTGACACAAGTAAAGAAAGGGAAAAAATTTGACTGGAAATCAGACTCTCCAAAACTTTTAGTCTAAGCCAAAGTTGAATTTACTATAATTAAGAAATGTTTCTTTCATTTTTACTGTTTTTAAATTTCAATTTCATCGTCATCTTCGATATATAAAAGAACTTGCTTTAGTAGCCGTAGAGGTGACAGGTATAACAACCCCAAAGATGTAGTAGGATCAGGCTCACACGCAAAATAGGCGTAATTAGATTTCGGCATTTCGCCTTTGGGAAAACTAACAAATCTACCTCAAACTTTGGTTTGAGTTAAAGTATACATTTTGTTCTTACATGTTGCCAAATCAGCAATTACTTCGATAGAACATAGCTGTAAGATGCATGGTTCAAAATCAAAGGGAAAGAAAGGATAAAAATGTGCGTTAAATTGGGGTTTGTTTTCAGCCAATCCATTATATTTTTGGAAGTTTTTGTGTGTTTTGATGGATGTCTCACTTCTCCTATACAATCTTTTAAACATTTCCTTTTATAAAGAAACCTAATCTTACGCATTTCAAGACAGTAAAGTCTTGTGAATGTTCAAACTCAATCCAATCTTATGAAACTAATTCTCCAACAAAATAGATTTTTTCAGATAGATATATTAATTTAAAGCTGAATTCATGTTTGTGAGAAGGATGTGAAGATCCAACAAATAAATGTTCAGATCATGAGAATGAGAGTGAAGAGTTGAGACCAACAAATTGTTTTCTTAGTCGCATCTAATCAAAGTGGTCCGCATGTTTTCTGCTGCATGCTTCCATCTATTTCATTTACGACGTGGTTGATGAGAACATGGTTAGTGGCTCAAAACTGTTCAATAGAAGAGAAGGGCTCCATTCCTTTTTATAGGTGGCATTAATTCGATATCCAATCCAAGCTGTTGAGGAAACTTGACACACAATTGGGCTTCTTTTTGAAACCAACACAAAAGATATCGACGGTAAAGTTTACAGCTTGCTGGAGTTTCTTAAAGAAGCTGCTTAAGTATATACGCATTTGTTAGCTTTACACCTCCTTCAAATGAAACTTCAATCTATTCAAGGTCAAGCCCATACGTTCTTATCATGGGAAACCATTGGCGCTATCAAAGAGATTGATTGTTTTCAAAATCTCGATGCATATAAATTAAAGCCCTTGAAGAACATTGATAAGATTTGTAAATACCATGTAAATGTTATAATATCTTCAAGGCACGTTATAATGATTTTGATATTTTTTGTTTCGTCGACAAGTTTTCTTCTTCTTCTTCTCTCTTCTTTCTCTTTTAACCATCGAAGCGAATTGACGTTTTGCTTATCTCAATTATAATATCTTACCGATGCTGCTCCATGCCGGGCACAATCAGCCCCTTTCATTTTCAATCAGCCCCCTCCTGTAACTATCACAGATTCCTGATATCAAGGTACGATAAAGCCGTACCTATTTTTACAAGATATATTGTTATTTATGACAAACCAGAGTTTTAACTACATCAAGCAGGATATCCAAACAAGCAATTCCGTGAGGACCCCATTCTCCTAATCGATGAAAAAGCCTTTTCCTGATAGAAAACAATGTGCTTATCCAGAGTGCAAACGATCAACGATGGTTCGTAGTGGTAGCCTATGAGCTAGAGATCTGAATCTGATTTGTTTAGGCATAAATCAACCACTCTATAATCCATGCCCTGAAAGATTATGTCTTCAATATGTACAATACTTTATAATCATATACTACGTACTTTTGTTTCTTGTAGAGTAGTTCTTGAAGAAATTCAGATGGATATACCCTTTAAAGGGGAAAAAAAAAAACAAAGAGCGAAAGAGACGTAAAGGAAGTGAAGAAAAGTGATCATATCACTAACTCTCCTTGGCTTTACAAAAAGGCAAAGTTACAAATTACTCGAGAAAAGCCCTGCAAAAATGCACTAATACTTCCAAGCCTCATAATTTGATTTTTCACGTTTCAAATTAATCAGTTTGGAGTTTTTTTTTTTCACCTAGAGTCTCCTTGAGCTGAAAGGGTATCGCTTAAACATTTTTGCATCTGTCAATAGTTTCAAAAGCTGGCATGGATACAAAGAGAATAAAGGAATGAACAGCTAGATTTTAGCTGACATTTTTGGGGTTTTTGACTTCTTTTTGTTGCATTAATAATGGATTGTAGATAAGATAAAGGATGCACCTTTGGTTTTGGTTATCTGCATATTATTTATCAGTCACCAGAGTCCACAAGAGAATCAATACCTGAAAAAAATGTTATTACAAAAATCCAACATCCTTTTATTATGACAAATCAAAATGCATAAGATTATTAACTATCTGCCACACTTGATTCATAATTTCTCCAACATTTTCCTTCCTTCACTTTTTTTTTTTGCCTTCTATGAAATAACGCAAGAGGAGAGTTGTTGGAGGTGAGTGATGGCAGACTAGATGAGTTTATTGCATATATTTGTGTGAAAATGTACATTTTTTGGCAGCTTGTTAAGCGTATATCTTCCTGGAAGCAACCGCAGATATGGAATTTGAAATACTTGCTGGAAACGTCACAATCCGAACAGGAACTTTCAAAAGAATTGTTGATAGTTTTGCAACCCAAAAAAAAAATATGAGTGGTGAGTGTAGACTCGTGAGCAGTAATCGGAGCCTTTTCATTTTCCAGTTGGACCACAAAAAAAAAGGGTACTAAATTAACTTCATTAACTCTCCAAAATTAAACCAATGTCTTACAGATTGGGAGGTTTCTCTTCTTATTTTGTCCGAAACTGTGGTTGGAAACTTTGTGGTATGAATGAAATGTCCAGCCATCTGCCATCTCCAACCATTGAAAAATTCCACATTATAGCTTTACACTCAAATTTAAATATTAATTCAAACTTTTAAAAAATAATACTAGTATGAATTAAGCTGCATATAATCACTCGTAGGCCAAGGTTCTTTCATTAAGTCCAATAAAGTATAAAGAATCACATTCACCCGTTGCCATATATCAAAGTGTTTGTCCTTTAAAGTGTTACTTTTGTATTTTTCTTTCACACTACCTGATCTTCACACACCGGCAAACTTGTTCCTATTTTAAGTAACTGAAGTAAACCAATTATGCACATATGCCACAGTGCAAATGTGTGGATCATAAGAAATTGTCCTATATCTATGTTCCATGCATTCGCTTACAATGAAAATTTTAAATTATCTAGTCTACTCCATAATTATTTAAGGGAAAAGAAAGAGTACATTTTTCCCCAGCCAATTCGGACATTTGCAGACATGGAATCATGGATAAATAAAGGGAAAGATCACCTCAGGGCTCAGAAAGATAGGTTATCTTGTTTTCTGATCATGCGTAGGCAAGATTCATATTGTTCGAGGGTGGGGGTCCATTCTCCAAGCTTTTATGCTATCAGCCAAACCTACAAACTCCAATCAAAGCCTACAACTTCGATCCGTTTTTTGGAGTTTTCCAGGTAATATGTACATGTCCTTCCTGGAAGTTTTAAAATCATGATGATAGAGCTTGACAGTGACAAACGAAAGAGACTTCCACTTAGTTGAATCTGAACCACTTTAGGTCTTTTAGTTGCTGGATTCTTTTTACCCTGAGTTGGATCAGCTTCGAAGCTAATTGGAATCTGTAGAGTAAAACTACATGAAACAAAGATGAAAAGAAATTACTGTAACAGATATTAGAAATACAAGCATGTGTAAAATGAGGAAAGATGTGTAAACAAAGATGCCGCATTCATATCCTTCCATATTGTGGCTTGCATTCATATTCAATAAAGAAATCAACACCCAACCCAAAATCAAAACCCATACTTAATTAAACTCTCTTTTATCTCAAGAATCATAATCCCATCACACATCTTTCAATCGGTGGCCGACAATTCCACCTTGTTTTCTTCTTAATTTGATCGATGTTAACGGGTCATCATGATTTTGTACAATAACCCTGCCTTTTCGACAGCTTGAAAAGATTTATCCTTCTGGACTCCTATATTTCATTATTTTGGTTTTGATTTTTTTTTCTTCGTAAGGTTTAGGGTTGTGTTGAAAAGATCTTTCTTTTTCATGTATATATATTGGCCTATTTTCCATGATATGGACATTGATAAATAATATTCCATTTGCACATGAAAAAAAATCTCAATTTGTGGAGTCTTTTAAGTTTCAAGCTTCAAAAAGAAAAATCAAATTTCGAAGCCTCCCTACTTTAACTAGAAAAAAGAAAAAGATAAAAAAAAAAGGGATACGGAGAATGAGGCAACTACTATTCGATCACTTGCATGTATGGATATCGTTTGATTTAATGCATGCTCCAATAATAAACGCAATTAGGAGTGATAATGATTTAGATTAAATTGAATTTAGTTCGATTTTTAAAAATATTATATAATATTATGAAAATTTAAAATTTAATCCGAATTCGAATTGAACCTTCATTTAATCTGAATCGAATTGAATCAAATTTTATCTATTTAGTTCAGTTCAATTTGATTTACAGGTTTTTAATTTTTATATATTATTTTAATATATTTAAGTAGATTTTGATAAAATTTATTATTTTTATTTTATAAAAATTTAAAATATATATAAAAAATAATAATAATAATTCGGTTCAATTTAATTTTTTAAAATTTTTATCTTTCGATCCAAAATCTGATCTAAACCTAATATATATATTTTTAATATTAAAATTTAATCTGAACTGAATAAAAAAAATCATTTCAAATCAAATTAAACGCTATAATTTTAAATTAATTTTCGAATTTTTCAATTTTTTTTCCACGCCTAACGCAGTAACCAAGTCTCAAACCAAAGCAATCACCGGGCTTTTCCAAAGTGCATGTTAACATTGTTGGGCCGTGCATGGACGTGGGTCATGGTTCTTCAATTACTGAAGGTCGATCGATTCTGCTTAATTACTAAGGCTAGCTTCCCTTCCAATATGATTTTCCATTGATTCCTGGCTTGGTGTCCGTTACTGTCTGTCTCATGTGTCTAACGCCGTTAACAAGAGAGCCCAAATCACCCATAATTAATCAATCATAATTTTAAACATGATTTCAATATGATTTTCCAAACCTAAGGTTCAACCATGGTGTTATGTTCTTATTGTTGATTTCTTCCCCTTCTTTTCATATTATAGAACACTAAATAACAGTATTTCAAGCTATATAGATTGAACAAGGCTTATCATGGCTCCATTTATGCCCACGTCTAAGCTAAACAGCTGATCAATAGGATTTTCATTAACAAACCATAGATGCATTTAAGAATGAGTTATTGAAGCATACTTTATATGGATATGGATTCCAAGCGAGGTCCACTTCACAATGAAGAAGAAAAGGCCCCAATTGCTTCCTAAATAGATTATGATATTCAAACCAAGACAAGAAGAATCTGTGTAATTTAGAACTAATTTTCGGTGAGTATATGAGGAATATGTGCTTATTCTTTGAAACAGTTGCCGTTGATTGTATTTATTTTTTATATTTATTTGGCCAAATGAAAAGCCATCGTTTAACTTCCATCATAAATTAAGAAAAAAAAAAAAAACCTTGTGTTTAAGGTATCTTTGATGAATCAAAATCTAACAATTCTTTTTATAATAATGGTTTGTGACCACCTCTATTTGGGAATAAATTACTAATTGATTTCAAGAATATATTTTCTTTTTAATTAGTGGGTTTGTTACTTTGTTATTTTCATCTTTATACTAATAATTTATTATGTGGCGTCAATTTATGAATTGTCAGAGGCAATTAAGCCAATAATGTTTGAGTAAATAAAATAATGTTTACTTGATTGGTGCCAGCGTTGAAGATGAACATTATCTTGAGACTAAAACCTGTGGAAGCTTTTGATGAATTGTCACTGTCATCAATTAGTAGGAAAAATAATCCAAGCTGAAATAGCATTGATATCACAAAACAGTCAAGAATTTCGGTCCAGGGCCGTTACCCAACTCATTATATTTGCACTTCTCATGGAAGGTGACCTCCACCTAGCATGGAATTAGAGAGATAGACGTAAACCAAAATTTAGGCATCCATGCTTCCTCCATTGTCATAATAACTAGTAATAGTAATTGAATTTATATTTGATTATAAATTTTATATATTGTTAGTGTATAAATTTTATATGTTATCAAAAATCAAATAATTTTTTAAAATAAATATACAAAAATTAATATTTTTTTAAAATTATTTATTAATGAAATATTATCATTTAATTTATCTCATTAATAAAATAATATTATCTGATTTATTGATAGTGTATAAAATATATTCTATCAATATATCAAATATAAACTTATAGTAGTTTGTATTGTAGAATGAATGGGCTTATTTAATGATTATATATAAATAATTTTTTGTAAAAAAAAAAACCTTAATTTAAGAATAAAAGAATTAATAGTAATTTTTTAGATTTAATTTTAAACTTATTAAATATTATCGTATAAATCAATTTAATTAAAAAATATGAATTATGTTCTTTAAAGTGACGAATATGTGTATTTATCATATGAGCTTGTTTGGTTTTATTTTTTTTACAATAGAAGTCATTAGATTTTTACCCAAATGTCAATTCATCTTTATCGCTTGAATCAAGTTTTCGAGACGCCACCTTTGTGCTTTAATAAAATAAGAAGTGTAGCTGATATATTAGAAAAACAAAACAAAAAAAAAAAATACTCGAAAAAATTTTAAAAATCCAAGATGATTGGCTTGACGTGATAGATGTTCTGGTTCTTCTTATTCTATTTTTCCTCTCTAAAGTATGTGTATGTTGAAGAATATTCAAATGACTTAAGTGATCATAAGTAAAAGGTTTTAAACTTTTTTATACATAATTTCAGACTTTAGTATTAGTAAGTCTTTCTAAATGAATCAGGACAGAAACTCAGTTAAAAAGACAAGAAACGTTTCAATTTATCAAAAACGCTTTGTACCATCAATTTGATTTGGGGTCTAACTGCAAAAGAATTTTATATGTTAAATTGATGATATTATTTTATTAATAAGATGAATCAAATGATATTATTTTATTAATAAATAATTTTTTTTATATATCTATTTTAAAAATTAAAAATTAATATTTATTTATTAACATGATGATTTGATTTATTTATATGAAAAAAAATATATATTATCCGAATATAAACTCTTTAATAAAATATATTCACTTTTAAAGAAGAAACCTTGAAAATGATAAAAGGTGCTGCCTAAATTGACTTTTGAAATCCAACAAATAAGTGTTTGACATTACATTTGATAGATTATCAATATATTAAATATACATTCTTCAATAAAACACTTTCTCCTGTTATGAAGATCACTTTTGAAGAAGAAACCTCCACAACGGTGAAAAGTGCACCCTAAACTGACTTTTGAAACCAAACAAATGGGTGTTTGACGTCACATTTGGTGCAAAAAGCATTGTTAGACACCCCAACACCAATATCAAATCCTCTCCTGATTGGTTGAAGAGGCAACTGTACTAGAAAGTTAGGATTAATTTTTCCATCAAACAGCTTACATTTGCCATCTTAATTATACGAAAACAATTTAAGGCAGTTTTTTTTTTTTTTTTTACCTTATGATTATCATAAATGAAATCTTGATCATTAAAATTAGAAATTAAAAAAATATCAATAATTTTATTCATTTTGGTTAATAATGTTGGAGTGTTCCATAGAATTCCTATCAAAAGTACAAAACAACAGCTTTTACTTAATTTAGTTGCAAAGAATTTTGTCGATTTAGAGTCATTTAAATGTTCACGGAAATGTGATTTAATTCAACCTTTCAACCCAATTGAAGAAACATTGGAATTAGTGGAAGAAGTTACAGAGGAATTCTTTGGGATCACAAATTCATTTTAATGTCATCCATATATAAATCATAGATGAACGAGATAAGGTCCTACTTCAATCAATGGTCATTTCAAGCAACTGTTTGAATATAGACACCAACCTACCATTCCCCAAATTTCTACAATCTTTCAACACTCAAATTACAAAAAAAAAAAATAAAAATCTGGAATTAGTGCTCTGCAAGTAACAATGGACACAATAAAGGCCAAAAAAATCAAATTATTGGAGAAATTTCTTTTTCTAGTGTTTGATTGGGGAAAAAAGAAATTAATTTGTTGACTCTTCTCTTAATATAGCATACATATAAAAGTTTCTGCGCGACATGTATTGCAACATAAAAATTAAGATTAGATTTTGATTTTATTATTTTTTAATATGATATGATTGAATTAATCGTAATATTAATTAAATTTAAATATAAATTTTAATAAAATTTATTTAATATAAAATTTTCATAAAATTTATTTAATTGCAATAATAATATATTTTTTATCGATTATAATTATAATAAATTTTATTATTGTTTTTAATTTTATTGAGATTAATTTTATTGTTTATTAAAATGAAGTCTAAATTAAAAATTGATTTTAACGAACCTCGAATTCCAATTCCTTGTCCAAAATAACTCCTAAAATTAGATTGAATCAAAATGTTCTAGAACACAACGCAATCAGATTAGAAGCCAGGCAGGGGCAAAAAGTTTCTTCCAATCCGACACGCAAATTCAATGCTCTGTAAGAAAATGGTAGCGGTTGCTTCCAAGCAGATGCCTGATGGTCCACTTGTCCTTACCATTTCCACATAAATTGAAAATGACTTTTGCCCACTATTGACTTCTTGCATGCACTCAATAAGCATTATTACATCGTTTGAATAGAAAATGTCTATCACATCGAAGCAGTTGTTTTGAAATTGAACTCTTACAATGTGCATATAATTTTTACATACAATCATCGTGTTGTCCCCTAAAAAAATTAATAATGCATTCTGAGATAGAGATAATTACTCAATTCCAATTAATAATGCAAAAGGATGAATTTTTTCTTATCAATTAAGGTTCAATATTTGTAAAAAAATATTTCGAAAATTAAATTTTAATTGCATTAAACAGATATAAAAAATGTGCATCTTTAAAATTAAATTCAAATAAATTTGAGATCCCTTTAATCCCATTACTAAAAAATTTACTAAAAATAAAATTATTATTATTATTATTATATTTTGTCATGAATTTTTATTCAATTCTCAATAGATTTTTCTTTTTTCTTTTTTCAACTCAAAATAAAAACTTCACCACACAATTCCATAGCGACTGTACCTATAAGCTAACAAAAGCTTTGTTTTTCTTTTCGTAATTATGATTTTAATAGCTGTAACAGTACAAAGAAAGTCTTTTGTGCATCAGCCAAACTGGTAGGCGAAAAAGAGAGCGGAACTCTTACGTGGCACAATAACGGCTCTGATTTCTGCCGCAAAACCCTCCGGCCATTTTTTTCTCTAGTTTGTAAATTAGTTTTTGTTTTTTCTGAGATATATTTAATGAGTTCAACTTCCAACTCGGTAGCTTGATTGAGAGAGAGTCAACTCGTTTACCAGCATTGATCGGTCTCCCAATTCCGCCCCCTATATCCCGCAAAACTAGAAGCCGAAGTCAACGGCCGTTGGCGTCTCCAAGTAAGCTTACTATCATATACGGCTCGTTTCTCGGGATCCGATAATGTACTGTAAGCCGCGTGGATCTTCATGAACTCGTCGGCCGATGAATCTTTCCGATCAATTGCTAAAGCGTCAGGATGAAAAACCCTTGCCAATCGGCGGTACGCCGCCTTGATTTCCTGGCTCGAAGCACCGACGGAAATCCCTAGCACCTCATAGAGCGACGTGCACGCTGCCATTGCTGGACGGCTTAGATAACCGCTCGTCGAACCTTTCTCTTGTTTCGAAGTGTAAGTATCGGTGGTGGTGGTGGCAGCGGCCAGAGGTGGTCGGAACCTGGCACGGGAAGGTGATGAAGGAGAAATTTCAAAACCGGAGAAAGAGGTCGGAATAGGAAGAGAAGAGAGCATGGTCTTATTCAGTTATGGAGTTTCGAGAAACAAATGGAGGCCTAGGGCATAATATATAGGGAGAAAAAAATTTTAGGGTTTTATTTTTTGTCTTTTAACTTTTTATTTTTTTATTTTTGGTAAGTGTCTTTTAACTTTGGTTAATTGAGTAATAGCGAATTAATGCAGTGCCTGTGCAATTTGTGTTGGTCGAGTTTTGGTTCTGAGTCAGCGAGTGGACTCAGAAATATTGGGGTTTTTTTTTTTTTTTTATTTAACTTAAAAAAAATTAATTCTTATTCGTCATGTTGTCTCATTAAGATATATTGACCTTTCTAATGAAGAGTAAGATTGCGATGTTCTCTCTAATTTCATAAACAAAAATAATTCAATTGTATGGATAAAACTTGCATGGATTAACTTTGAATTTTAAGGGGGAAGGAATTGTTGCCTTTGTTTATAATTTAATCAAAATAATTAAATTATGTGGATCCCATTAGGAATATTCCCTTTTATCACCATTTGGTGATGATTTTAGGCTAATCAACCACAAAAGCTGCATGTGCCAAAAGATGGCTTTGTTTCTCGTTTTAAAAGATATGTCAACCCTAGCTATTTCCTCATGTCTACTCTAATTTCAGAAAAAATTTAACGAGATTTTAGTTTAATGACAAAAAAAGATCTTAAAATTATGAAATTTTATATTCAAGTCTCGGGGTTTGTTTAATTGTATTTTAATTTATAAGTTGATTATTTTATGATTGTAATTTTATTATGATATAATTATTGATTATTCAAATGATTATATTAATATAATACTTAATTATAATTTTAATTTTAAAAAATAATATATTTATATATATAACTCAAAATATTAGCTAGATAGCTCACAATTACTAGAAGCCTTCTAACTAATTATATATCTATAATTCTATATAGTTGTGATTGATTTTTTTTATTATAAAATCATGGGTATTTCCAACTTTTGCTTGAATCTTATTTCCTTTTTGGATGATATTAAAGATGTACATTCTTACTTCAATATAATTTATTCAAAATTTAATTTTTAAAATATTTCTGAAAGTATCGAATCCTAGTTGATAAAAAAGAAACTTCTAATTACCATTTGTGAGTATAGTTGAGATGGAACTGATGATAAAGAAAGTGAATCCAATTAATAATGTTGCAAAATGGATAGCTTAGGGGTCACCATAACCATATAGGTTGAACCACAGTGGTTCAGCTTCAATGAATGCCAACCTATCAATCTTAATTTGTTTGTTCACGTACAATTGCTTGCAACCATATATTTGGAAGATATATGGCTTGCCTACCATTTCATCACTTAATAATTTCAGGCCCAATTCTTAAATAGAGCAGCTATTTTTTTTTAAAATTTTTCATAAATAGATAGCTTGAAACAAATTTTATTTATCCTTAATTCAAATAATAAATAATTAAAAAAATACAAGAGCTTGTAGACACCCTAATTTATCTGATGCTCTACTTAATTTGATTTTTATTAATTTAAAAAATAATAAATGAAAAAACAAAAAAAAAAACGATGGTTGAATTGGTGTAAAACTGAGTCGAAGAGTTTGAGAAGGATTGGAAGAAGTTAGGTGAGATTAAAGTTCAAAGGAAATTAGACTTCTTTTTTGATTTAGGGTTCTTGGATCAGAACCCTATAAATAGATATACACAGAAGTAGAAAGGACATACAATAACAAAGAAAGCAAGAAACAGAAACACAGCAAGCAGTCAAAAACATTTTTAAGTTTTTTAGGTAAAAAAATTTTTTTTTTTAGAAATTTTTTGAAAAATTTTCAGATTTCGACAAAATTTTTCGACGCCAATTGAATTTTTTGGCAAGTTTTTTTGCTTTGATTGAATTTTTTTGCAAGCATCCTAGAATCCAATTGAAAATTCTGGCTAGCTTGAATTTTTTGATGAACATCTGGCGAACCTACCTAGATTTCGACTATTTTTTTAAAAATTCGATGAAGATTCAACCGAAGTTCCTCGGTTTCTAGAGAGAAAGGAAGAGAAAAGAAAAGGGAAGAGAGAGAATGAGAGCGAAAATTTGAGGGAAAAAAGCTGAAACTTGGCCTTTTATACCATTGTAAAACGATGCCGTTTTCGCATTAAGATATCCACTAGGATTCGTGCGTTTCTATTAAGGTGATCTGACCCATAGCGCAACCTATTTTTGATCCGCGTTTGACTCGTCTACCAACCGATCCTTTGAGTCGAGCCAAGCCGCCAAGTCGTGTCCCCGAGTCGTTGTTTGAGCTAGAGTCGAGTGGCGTCGAATTCCCAGCCAAGCCGTTTTTTAGTTTTATTTATTTATTTTATTTAGTATTTTATTTATGTTTTTTTCTTAGTATTTTTTTTCATGATTAATTTATAAAAAATAAAAAATAATAATAAAATAAAATTTTTTAGAATAAATATTAATTATCCAATGATGAATTTATAGAAATTTCAAATGATAAATTTTTATAAAATTTCTAGGTGAGAAATTTTGTTTAAATTTATCCTAAATGGTGAAATAATTTAGATAAAGTTTCAATAACAATAATTAATATTTATTTTTAAAAAAAGAGAAATAAAAATTTTGGTTGAAAATATTTGATAATTATCCAATGATGAGATTCTTAAAAATTTCAAATGGTAAATTTTTAAGAAATCTCTAAGTGAAAAATTTTATCTAAATTTATCCCAAATGATGAAATAATTTAGATGAAGTTTCAATAAAAATAATTGTCATATTATTTTCTTTCCAACAAAAAAAAGAGAAATAAAAAGAATTTTTAAATAGGACCAAATTGTGAAAACTTTAGAAATTCTAAAAATATGTTTGTAAATTGACCCAAATGGTGAAAAATTTAGAAATCCAATAAAAAATAAAGAGAATTTCTAAATAGGCCTAAATGGTGAAAATTTAGAAATTCAAAAGAAAAGATATTTCTAATTTAGCCCAAATTGTGAAATAAGTAGATATATTTTCAATAAAAAAATAAAAATAATAATAAATAAACATTTTTTCGATGACGGAGCCTCTTCAAGATATCAAATGAATTCTTGAATACTCTTGAAATGAAAAAATATTTTTTTAAGAATTTTACCAGATTGATGGAAAATCTTAAAAAATATTTTCAATATTTAATATAAAAACTTAAAACCATTAGAACCAAGACCTTATAATGAATTTAAAATAATATGGTACCATCATGTGGATGGGCATGTGGGGGTGCTATAACTTTTTTCATATGTAATCGAACTTTCAAACCCTGTTCTAGTTTATAGATCCAAACTTATTCTTTTAGGGATCCTTAGTTAAGCTTAGGATCTCCTTAAAAGGATAAATTCCTTAGGTGACCAATCACACATGGGTACAAAAAGATTGGTGATGACTCCATCCATTTTGCTAAGTCTAACTATAGATTTATGGATCTATATATTATGACAGTTTAGTGACTCCACTGAGAACAACCATATAGAGTCAAGCCATAATTTTTAAGTTTATCCTATCCTTTGGTCTAATGGTTTTAAATTATAATGATTTGTATTATCTGTTTACTAATGTTTTTGTCTTTTATTGTCTTTTATTTTTGGGGCATGAAACTTATATGTTCATTCACACACACTATCACATGCATTTGTATTACATGAGCTCTATACTCAGGCTCCATCCCTCTTAGGAAGGAATAAAGTACTAACTCTTTCGTGAGATAATAATCTCCGTAATGGCTAGCAAAATATTTTCACTTAAATTAAATCATTTTCATTGGTAGCCTGTAATGTGTAAGGATTAAACTACCTTACTAGTTTGTGATAAACAATGATGCAAGGAATAATTTGAAAACATTTAGTGGTCAAAGTCCCTAACCCTGCATGTAATCAACATTTAAGAGGACTAGCTTTATGATAGAGCTCTTCCTACCCAGTGATAGATGCAACCGAAGTCAGGATACAAGAAAAAACAGTTTGTGATCTAACTATTTTGTTTGTTTAACTTTTTGCATTTGCATTATCATATCATGCATCATTTTCATTGTCATATGTAACATTCTACATTTGCATCATATTTATTTCATCCATGAAAAGGTACATTTTATACATTAACATATCATGCATAAAGCATAGCATTTTTTTATCATAACTGTGGTATTCAAGGTTCAAGGATAGCTCCACCAAGTAAGAACCCAATTCACCAATAAAATACAAGGAGCTCAAGCCAGATAAATATAACAAGAGAATTCTAATCGTCTTGAGAGGATAAAGAAAGCTCAAAAAAAGCTTGAAGGGGAGTTGAGTAAGATTTTAGAGGCCTTGAATAAGTTAAACAAGGGAAAAGAAATAAAAAAAGTACTAGCCAATAAGAACATCTATCATAAGAGGTGATTGACCTTATGTATCCTCTTAGTTTTAGGCCTCATCAAGCTCAGTCCACTTAGGATGCACCACCCTAGTAGTTCACATATCCTGTAAGATATACATACCCTAAAATGCCATCAGCTTCAAATTTAGGGCAGTACTAGAGTTATGTAAATATTGTCTTTACTGAAAAAATAATAGAACTATTACCAATCCTCAACTTAGATGATCCAAAAGAAAAGAAAAAATTGAGGCCTAAGGAGAATGAAACTTTAAAAGCCTTAAAAGCTAAACAGAAAATAAACTTATTAGAGAAAATATTATGGGCCATAAAAAGCATTGGTTTTTATGGTTCTATAATGTTGATGGGCTTTGTAATTATTCTTTCAAAGTTCAAAGTGCCAGAATTCGAAAAGTATGATGGTACAAAGTGTTCGAAAACTCATAGTACTATGTACTATCGAAATATGATTGCCCATGCTAATAATAAAAAACTATTAATGCATGTGGTCCAAGACACCCTTATTGGTTCTACTACTAGGTGGTATGTCCAGTTGGATAGAACTCATATTCGTTCTTGAAGTGATATGGCCCATGACTTCATACATAGATCTAGGTCATGATCATTTTTTTTTATAAAATATGAAAAAAAATGATTGAATCATTCAAAGAATATGCCCAGAGGTGGAGGGACATGGCTACTCAGGTGCAGCCTTCTTTGATTGAGAAAAAAACTATTATTTGTTAGCACTTTGAAATTTTTCTATTATGAAAAGATGATGGGGAATGCCATAAAAAATTTCATTGACATGGTGATCTCAAGAGAAATCATTAAAAATACCATTAAAAATGGCAAGTTGAAAGGAAGAGAAACCAAGAATATGACAGAAAAAA